TGCAGTTGAACTAAGTTCAAAAGGTGAAAAATGCTCATTTCGGTCAAACTGCTTACAAAATACGTTATAATAATTTATGCATTAGGTTCGGTACATGAAGAGCTCCGTGTCTAAATCAAAGCCGCTCCAAAGTCGCTTCAAAGGCGAAATTCTCGGCCAGGCTAGGCGAAAAGAACGGCTGAGCCGTGCCAAATTGAAACAGGCGTTCCTAACTGATTCAGACGCGGAACTTTTCGTGTTCTTAATTCAATGTATTAGGTTCGGCTCATGAAAAGTTCGGCGCCTGAACCGGGCCTTACAAACACATCACAGTTGCTGTTTAAGTCTTTTTTATGCCTGATCGGCTTCTAAATTTCAGCGAACCGCCGTAAACACCGGTTTCGTACAGAAATGCCTTTGGAACCTTTGCACTCTCATCTTCGCAAAAGTAAATGGAAATTTTGCATCTGACGCGCACCGTTATGCTGCAGTGAAGAGTATTCTAAGAGCTAATCTTCAAGAACACAACCTAAAACGAAGGCCTAATGATTCCATAATTGAAGCCTAGCTTGAACAGACAAATTAACTCCTACGTTGCGAAACGTTTCCCATCGAGAATTATCTGAGGATATGACATGTGCGATTATATGTAGGACGGTATTTTCTTACCCTGATGATGCCCTGTAGAGTCGAATACGTTCGGATTTTTCTTTTTTAAATATACAAGTGCCTTGTCAGTAGTTCATTCTCTTTAAACCTAAGCGGATTTTCTGGACAAAATTACATTCCAGTGATATTTCTGACGTTCACGGTTTTGTGAGTTTTAAAATAAAACCTTGATCCACGCCCAGATTGGTATTGTGCTTCACATTTTATGGTTCATTTCTAATTTTCTGTCGAGCACGGCCCATCTCTACGCTTTGAGCTATTTGAGTCCTTGGGAGGCAAAGGGAAAGTCATTTTGGGGATTTAGAAGCTTTTTGACTTATTGACAGCTTATTCAGCTTCTTAGTAAGCCATATTTTATTACAAAGGTTAATTCCATTCAGCCTCTGTTTACTCTGGCACATCCTTGTGTTTTTATTAGTAGTCCTTTTATAGATATGTCATTTTACTGCAAGACCCTCTTACGTTAAGCTTTTTTCTTGCAAAAAAGGGCTATCCTGGGATAACTTCATTTTAATTGAGAGGAGGAAAACGCTGAATTCTAGCATTCTAGTATTTCATGCTGATCTAAGGGATCGAGTAGACTTAGATAGCGCCATCTTGAAAACGGCGGGATATGGAGAGACAACCACACAGTCACGTAGCCTCTCTTGTTGGTACTTGAATTACCGTGACAACGGGGGTTGATCTTTAAGGAAAGACGTCATCTGTTCTGTTGATGGGATTCGGACCAATCATATTGGAGAAACGGTGTGGCGTGATATCTTTTAAGAACAAGGCAACACTGCACTTGTAGAAACAGTTTTCACTTTTGCTTTTAGTTTTGCTGGGTGCAGCTACGTGCGCTGAACACAGGATCAAGACTTGCAAGGTACATTTACTCAATCTAAACCAAGGAGAGACTTCTTCTTAGTTAATGGCCTCCATCCTTGTTTAACATCAGGAAACTATTGCTTATTGGGTAGCCATGCACTCAAGAAAGTTCAGGGGAAGAGCAAAAATAATTCACAGATCTGAGCTTCTGTGTGGGTACCCATGGACGTGGGTTTCGTCGCGCGTTTTCCATCAAATCGTTGGTTTTTCTGGCGAAATCGTCGCATATCAAGAATTGCTTTGCGCAATGTAACGCTGCTAACGAACCCCATTCAACCACTGCGACGAGGGAAACGAGAAAATAAGCGAAAAAAAAAAAAAAACATCTGAACGTGCAGCGCACTTTTTGCAAGTTTCGTTGCCATCATTCCATGCACAACAAATGTTGTCAAACTTAATTGAAATGACAATGCGATCGTCACTTTAATCTCTAAGATGGGCTCTTCATCGATGGTCATCGTCGCGACTTCGATTTCGTCGGAAATACCCATACAGAGGCTCACATCTACAGTTTTCTAGAGATTTTTACTTTCAGTCTGTGCGTGTTACTGCAATGCAAATGCTTGCTATTGTATGTAGCAAAGATTACTTGCCTGTGGTAATAACAATCAAAGTAGCCAAATTTAGTAATCAAAGTTTTACGACGAACATTTGCGCATTGTTGTTACGACACACTGAGTGACTCCAGATTACGTGCACTGTTTCTGTTCCCTAAAAACTGAAATTTGAATTGCGTGTTTAAATAAGGAGCTAAGTACTTAAGCTGATTTAAAATTCTTTTTAACACTCCCCCGTGCTTCGTATTACGCATGTGCACAGCAATATCCCTTTTGAAGAATTATTCACCAAGGGTTAAAAGTTCATCTTATTATTTCAACTTTGTATTGTTCAAATTAAGTAAATATTTTCGGACCACAAAACTGATTGGTGATTGCAATGAACACTAAGCAACAATAACTGATGTTTGTGGAGGTAGGGTGGCGGGGGGGGTAGTGCCTGAAAGTACCAGGCTAAAGTGCATCATCCTCTTTTCCACAGGCAGCTGAGGAGCTTTTGACAGATCTGGTCACGTGAACTGGTCGAACTGATCATCATGCTAAGTTTATTAATGTTACTGCTGGCCATAATGACTTCTGTAACGGCAACCGGCGGCAACAAACAGTCCGCACACACCACGGTACAATTTTTCTAAACAACTTTTGAGCAACTTTCGCTACAAAAAGAAACTTTTGACTTTCTTTGAGGAGCTTTTGGGCAACTTTTTGAGAAATTAAGGGATTTTTTTGGAGAAATCTCGAGCAACACGCGGAAAGCTCTCAGTACGCCACGCCACTGACATTTGACTGAAGAAAGACGTGATGGTGGAGAGGTGAAGATAACACCTATTTAAGAAGCAGGCAGGAGAAGCGAACATATGAAAATGAAAAAAATGCCACCTTTTCTGAATCTGAGACGTTAGGAAACTGAAATTTTCAGATAAAAATTAGCCCATTGTACAAGCATTTTTCTTATATAAGGAAAGCTCGAGCTGTTTCTACTAAAAGTACATATACCGGCATTTCTGCCTTTCAGTTTTTTGATCAATCAGTCGAAGGATAACAAGATATATTTTTTATAATTTTTATTATTTTCTTGTTTGAAACTAGTAATCTCCATCGTTTTGTTATGGTGGTTGTGGCATTCCCGGCATGCCCGACAAGCATGGTACTCCTGGGGCACCAGGTCGCGACGGACGTGACGGACGTGATCGCACGTCAAACAGAAGTAGTCTTTTTCCTTTTTAAAGCACCTTGACGCTACCAAATTTGTATTTCGAAGTGTCTTAACTATTATAGAGACGATTTGTCCGAAAAGATAGGCAAAACCATTGTCCAAAAATGAAAAAAGAGCACTTCCGGTTGACGTGCGTCGCTCAAAAACGTCTTTGCTTAAGCTCACTAATGTTACGTAGCCAGACCGAGAGCTCTACGTGGCGGCGCACTTGTTTGCTGAAGAGTTCCGTAATCAGATACTGACTCCAATTTGGTTGAGTAAATTTGGCCACCAAAGGTGACGAACTTTATTCTCAAGACCTGCCAATATACAATACACAAATATCTCTTCACCAAAGGTGGGGAAAAAACCGCCACCAAATAGGTTGATACAGTTACACAAAGTAAATAATTAGAGCACAGTCAGGCGGCAGGGGAAGTGGTGGAAAATTGTGAGAATTCAGTTCGAGCCAAGTGATGTGCACTGTGTGATGGTGAGCAGTCTAAAGAGACGAGCAGATGGTAAAGCACGGTTAAGAACTATGAAACTTGGAACGCCATAGATTCTGATTGGTTAGAAACCAGATACGATCCATACCTGCCGCCTGAGCCTGAGGCCCTTGTCTAAGTAAATGCCTTGTCATAAAATCCCATTATGATGACGTCATGATGGTGTCTTTTTTTCCATATTTTTTACGCACGAGCGTATGTGAGTATATGGACGCGAGGACGCAACGCCCCTGACATTTGACAATAGAGAGCTTAAGCAACGACGACGGCGACCTCAACGAGAACGGCAAAAAAGCAATAGGTTTAGATTGGCAAAACAACAACTTTGCACGTGTATCACGCTTTTTGTAAATTTCTTTCTCGTCACTGCACGACTACGACGAGAAACTGCCTAATTTCACTTTTTGCGGAGAACTTGAACACAAGACAACGACTTTCTCTTTCTTTTCCTGACCTTTGGTACTCAGTTTTAGAATTAAAATCCAGAAATAGTTGCCAAAATTTGAAGAAATAAACGAGATGAAATAAGCGCGATAAAGTTTAACGCATCGCAACTTCACTTCTTAAGTGACGTTTTCGTGGCGGTCGCCGTCTTTGTTACTTAAGCTCCCTAATAAAGCTATGAGAGGTGAAGATAAAAGCTATTTAAGAAGAAGGTAGGAAAAGCGAACACATGAAAATAAAAAATGCCACTTTTGCTGAATCTGAGACCTTAGGAAATTCAAAGTTTCAGTTGAAAATTAGCTCGTTGGACAAGCATTTTTTTGTCATAAGGTAAGCTGTAGCTTTTTCTACTAAAAGTAGACATACGGGCCTTTCTGCCTTTCAGCTTTTTTCAAACTAAACCTGAATACAATCAGAATCAATCAGTCGAAGGATAACATATTTTTAATAATATTTAATATTTTCTTGTTTGAAACTAGCAATCTCCATCGTTTTGTTATGGTGGTTGTGGCATTCCCGGGATGCCCGGCAAGCATGGTACTCCTGGGACACCAGGCCGCGACGGACGTGATGGACGTGATGGCCGTGATGGAGCTAAAGGTGATCAAGGATTGCAGGGGAAGACTGGACCTCAGGGACCTCCTGGTGATAAGGGACCTGCTGGTGTAAAGGGAGAGGAAGGGGCTAAAGGAGAACCTGGAGCCCAGGGTCCTCCCGGTCAAAAAGGGGAACTCGGCCCGATGCCGTTTAAGAACTGGAAAGAATGCGTCTGGAAAAACTTGAATGATGATAAGGACATTGGTCTGATCAAGGTGAGTCGTGCATTTTCGATTGATAGGCATCAAGAGAGGATAAAGGGTACAGAGAAGGCATCCCCCATACACACCCTATTCCATAGGTAATTCGTCTTGAGTTATTTTTAGAATCGGGATAAAGTTACCTCGCGCGCTGCGTGGATGTTTCGTGGAGGTTTCGCATAACTGAACGCCATGCAAAACATGTCGGGCGAAAGGCAATTAAAACCGTGGAGAGATCGAGAGCACTTCTGAATATTGAAGCGAAATGAGTCAGCGCTCACCTGGGAAAAGGGAATCGCTCGACTCTTTGACAACCTGAGAAATCAGTTTAATTCGAAGTTATCGTAACCTCAGTGATTAATAAAATGAGAAATTTCGCCGGTCTATTGAAACCGGTCGTTTGTACAATAAAGCAAGTAGCCAGCAATATTCATGTACATGTAATTAGTTTTACAAATTTGAATTTTATTGTAGTTTTTTAAAGTTGTTAAGCGCTGTTGATTATTATTATAGGACAGACATCAAGTGCTATTTTTGATGAATAATAAAAGACTAATAAAAGAATAAATATCAAACCAGAAATTGCTCTCTTCAAACTGTAAATTATAAATGATCCTGAGAAAATATTCACTGTGTTAAGGATTTCCCTGCTGTACTGTTAGCTCTATACAAGAGAGGAAGGGCGATTCTTCTTTAATTTCCGTTTCGCTGACTCAGCTTAAGCAGAAATCTCTCTTTAGTCATTTTCGTCGACAAAACGAATAGCAATATTGCTCTCCACGTCTCCAGACGCGTGGCTCTGAGCGTGGGTCATCCACGCGGAACACATTCGCTCTATGTGATTGACTGTTGTCTAATTCCCCTTGGGATCTGTGGTCTTATAAATAACTCGAGACGAATTACCTATGGAATAGGATGTTTATGGAGGATGCCTTCTCTGTCCCCTTTATCCTCTCTTGTAGGCATACAATTATCAAATTTACACACAACATAGAGCATGCAGCAGCCATTTTTCAAAAGGCCTTTTGCTTCGGGCCAATGCAGATACCAACGAACATCCACGGGATACTGGCTTGCGCTCTTATAAAACGACATCCTCTATATAGCGACCTAGTTACACACGTAGCTATAAGCTTGGAGAAATTATGTCAGCAGAATTTCTAGCGCATAAGGCACTCTTTCTAGCATTGTCAATGGTTGGTCATTATCAAAACTTGAAAAAAAAAAAACCGTGAAAATGAAAATAAGTAATTTCTTAGAAATCGATTTTGAGATAAATATTAGCGATAAAAAATCACGACGTTTCGACCTCTCCGAGGTCATTTTCAAGTTTCGGTTTCAGTTCTTGGATAAAAAACCAAGAACTGAAACCGACGCTTAACAAACAGTGCGATTCAATTCGCGCCAAATTATTTGTTTAGAGTAGTTCTTGTTAACATTGTTTTATTTCCATTGTTTTTTGACTTTATAAATATCTTTAGCACTTTTTACATTTTTACATATTTTATCACATTTTAGCGTTCACCATATTTTTATCTATTATAACTTGTTTTTAACTTATTTATGCTAATTTAGAGAACTTTTATACACTTGAAAATGACCCCGGAGAGGTCGAAACGTCGTGATTTTTTATCGCTAATATTTATCTCAAAAATGAAAATAGTAATTGCAAAACAAGATTAAAATAGGAATAATAATAATAAAAAAATACCGTTTCAACTAATCCGAGCAATATTGAACAAAATCAGGCGATGAAAAGCCTGCGTGGCAGACGTTGGAAAGGGAGAGAGAACGGGATTCCGGACGCTCGAGAAGCGCGAAAGTCTTCCTTGCGCGCGGTATCTAATGCAATTCCCTTTCCCTTCCCCTTCCCTTACGAACGCTATGCCTCAATGAGGGCTATGTCCTTGTTCCCTGCCATATTTGAAAAATTCAAAATGCCCGAAGGCCTGTAATATTTTTCCCGGTATCCAGCACAATCTAGATAGTACTTACTTACGTGGGGCATAAGACTTCAAAGATCTAACGCTGTCAGGGCCTAATTCTTCGCCTCCACCAATTCCTTCTTTGAGGTCCTTCTCCAGGTCTTATTTCGGCCTGCCTGGTTCTCTTTCTCCATAGTTTGTGGCGGGCCCTTTTTGGGGGTTGGGCGTAAGGTTAACTACTCCTCACCGTAAAATAAGATGCAGTTTCTAAAACTACGGCGACAATCAGAATTTAGGTGTCTGAACAGAATTAGCAAACTGAAGCAATCTCTACAAGCACTGCCGACAGACAGAATAAACTATTTAACGCTCAAGAAGATTTTCTTCTTAGCTTAGCCAAAATTGTCAGTAAATCACAAATTGGAAACTTTACTACGTGGCCGCTTGTCCATTGTCCGAAGAGGGCCACTTAGTAGTTCTATCGTTTATAGCTGTTCAGCAACTGCTGCGGACTGACTTTGCAACTAGATACTTGGGCTTACACCTTAAAGCCAGTGTCTGACCAAGGAGCAGTTAGTCTCTTTGTGTGAAATCAATCATACAGCAAATAGCCTGTTCAGTCCAGGCGTTCAGATAGTGGAGTGCGACGCGAAGTGAGAGAGCAGGAAAGATATGCAGGAAGAGAGGGAGAGGGAGAGTGGTTTGGCCTTCTCTGTTACTCCCTACCCCAACCGTCGCTGTTTTTCCTGCTCGCTTCTCTCGCGCCGTCACCACCATCTGAACACCTGGAACAGGTTATTTTGCAAATAACTCTAGGGCTGTGATATTAACAAGTTCAAGCGAATGGGTGAGGCCAAGTTTTTTTTTGCAAATTTCAATTTAGAGAAAAACTTTTCTTACTTGTAAAGTTTTCAAGAATGTCACAATTTTCCTCAGTGTTTCGGGCAAAACTTTGAGGCTTCGGCATAACAGAAGCGGGCTTGTGTGTGTGATTACTGAACCCTTTGAACAGCTCTGAACAATGCCATGACCTTCTTGAAAATTTTTTTTTGCCTGTTGGTTCTACAAAAAAATGTAAGGTGTAACGCGTAACGGATTCTGTTAATTAGCCCTTGCATATAGGCCTGTATCTCATGGTAAGACTCTCAGCCGAGTCTCTGCTACTAACAAGGACGTTTCATCTCTCAGTTGACACTGAAGACTTATGCGCCGATCAATTCGAAACTTCAACTTCCCCCAAGGCCCCCTTCCGGGCCTTTAAACTTTTTATGACAGGCCTGGTCAAATTTTCCCTCTCTCCTCCGCAGGGGCTCCTGCTTGGTATTCCAATAAAAAGAGTCTCTTTCCCCTTCCCATTGTCCACCGCGCGCTTTCCCTCTCCTTAGAAGTCTTTGCGGAAGAGAGAAATTCTCCTTATACATTATAAACTTAATGTCTGATCCCGAGGGAAACAGTTAGTTTTGTTTCCCGAGAGTCCTGATGTTTCCCGAGACGAACATCAGGTCTCGAGGGAAAACAAAACTAACTGGTTTCCCGAGGGACCTAACATTAAGAGTTTTGTTATATTTCTAGACTTTCACTTACATAGATACATACATACATACTTTATTTTTGCCTCCCCAAAGGGGCTTTTCAGGAACAATGATTATATTACATTATTTATAATAACTGATTACAACGTTTAATCTAGTACTAATTACAGTGTTAGCTAATTACTAATTAAAAATGTTTTAAACTTAGCTAAGAAGTATTTACAAATTATCTAAAAGCTGGCTCCTCAAGGATCGTTTAAAAAATTTCAACAGATGGGCTTAACTTTTTAAAAAAAGATTCCAAATTGTTCCAAAGTTTAACAGTCCTGTAATAAAAGGTTCTCTGTCCGGAGGCAGTTCTGAAAAGAGGGATGTTTAGCTTTTGGCTACTCCGAGTTGTTTTTTCGCTAACTTGCTCACGGGTAATAAATTGAGATGTAAGATATTCAGGGGCTTGACCGGTCATGCATTTGAAGGCCATAATAGCTTGGCGATAGTACAGTTGGTCCTTAACAGGCAACCAAGACAGGCTTTTTAAGAGGGGTGTTACATGATCATATTTTTTTCGCACCGCTGACGATTCGGGAAGCAAAGGTTTGAACGGCCTGCAATTTTCTAACCTTCTTATTTGTGGTATTTGCCCAAACATTCGAACGGCAGTATATTTTGCTAAAGACTAAGGCATGTATTACGGTTAACAACGTATTTTTGTCTAGACAATGTTTGACCCAGTTAATTTGCGCTAGACGTGCGATACATTCCGACACTGAGGTCGTTATATGATTATCAAATGTTAAGTTCGGATCCAAAATCACGCCAAGATCTCTCGCTGATTGCACTGGGGAAATGTCCTTTCCCAACGAAGACAAGTGAAATTCATGAAGCTTAGAGGTCATTTGTCGGCTCCCGAAAACAATTAATTTTGTCTTGTCTGGATTTAGTAGTAACCGATTTCCGAAGCACCAGTTACGCACCTGCAGGAGATCTTCATTCATTTCTTGGACAATTCGTTGAGAGTCGTGTAACTTAAAAGAAACAAACAGTTTTGTATCGTCTACATAACATTCTGTAGAGCAATGCCTTGGAACTTCTGGTAGATCATTTACGTATATGCTAAATAATAGGGGGCCTAGAATACTGCCTTAAGGAACGTCATATTCAACTGGAAGAGGATCAGAAACGGATCTATGAATTCGTACAACTTGATATCTATTTGTAAGATAGCTGTTAAACCATTTTTATAGCGCGCTGGTTGAGGCGCCGACGCTTTGTATTTTACATAACAATGTTTGCTGGTCAACGCTGTCGAAGGCTTTACTCATATCTAAAAGCACGCAGGCGGTTAATTTCTTATCATCAATTCCTTTGAGAAAAGCATCAGTTGTGTGAATTAAAGATGTCTCAGTAGAGAAACATTTTCTGTTGTCGCTTTGTTTTGTGTTAAGCCTTTCCTTGGTTGTCAAATAGGTGACAAACTGATTATAAGCCACTCTCTCGCAAACCTTTGACAATGCAGGTAGCAGGGAAATCGGTCTGTTATTGTTAGGAAGTTCGTGGTTGCCTTGTTTGGGAATAGGTGTAATTTGGGAATGTTGAAGCTAAATGAGAAGCATTGATGTTTGACGTAATAAAAAGGAGTGTGATCAACAGGCTGTCCTTAAGGACTCGAGTTGGCACCTTGTCAATCCCAGGAGCCTTATTAGAGGGCTCTTCAGCCAAAGGCTCAATTTTAGAATTTGTAGATTTTCCGACTGATGCAAAAAAGTTGTTAAAATCATCCGCAACGGTCTTGTCATCTTTGCTATATACTTTTGGGGTGACAGATCTTTAGAGAAACAAAGGCGAATTGCCTTCCAAATACAATTTGTATTTTGTGGATTGTTTTGAATCTGTTCTTTGACAAATTCGCTCTACGCTTGTCTTATTAACTTTCTCACTTGGTGTTTAAGGTTTTTGTAAGTAGACCAGTCAGCGGGAATATTAGTTCTGCGTGCTTCTATCGCTTCAACAGCAAAAAAATAATAATAATAAAAAAAAAAACCGGAGCGAACCAAAATAGTCGACTCGGTACTTATAACAACACAAATTTAATTCTCAAAACCACTGAATGAATGATTTACAGAGTACTTTCCTGATATTATCTGCATCTTTTTCCTCCACTCGCTGCTGTTTCTCTTCTGGGAACTTTTGGGATAACTTTAAAAATCATTGCTTTTTAGCTTGAGGCTTAGTGTTTGTGTTGTTGTGTTCATTCACGAAAAAGAAAACTGACAGGACCTGGCATTGTTTTTCCCGCCTTCTGTCACGCCCCTTCCCACCATGCTTTGATCACGTGCTGTAATGTAGCCCGAGCGGGGTACATTGCCTAATGTATCACGATCGGGATATATTTGATTTTAGTCAAGGCCACGTGACCAAGAATCAACCAATGGCACTCCCTGTTTAGTTGAGTGGAAGTCTAGGAATATAACAATATGGCAATGTAGGACTGTAGTCAAATGCCTCTCCCAAAGAAAAAGTGTTTTGCTGATTATATGGTGTGTGGATTGCAGCTGTTTCGGATAACACGCGACCTGAGTTGTCAGAAACGTTTCAATTTGGGTTTTTGTTCCAAGTTAATCAAACCGTTACCATAGCATCCAATCCTATCTTGTCAAATAACGGCTGCAATAACTGGCAGAAGCTGAAAATTTAAATTAAATGTTGGCGGGAACGTGCAGATTCGTTTTCATCCTCCCATATCTGTGTTTCTTCTGGATTTGGAAGCTCTACAGGAACAATTTCACCTTGGAAATCTAGACTTTCCGTGTTTCAGTAAGAAGATAAAAAAAAAACTTGAGAGTTAAAACGTAAGATCACGCAAACTCTGAAGTTCAAAAGAAACAAACCTTGAAACATAGAAACAAACAAAACGGATCGAAATCCACTAATCACAAATCGCAAACCACGACCATTTGAACTCGTTGAAGTAAACGTCCGCTAAGAAAGCGCGGAGCCTTCAGATTTGATTGTCGTCGCAGAAAAAAACCAAAAATCTAAAGACGCTGTTGACATCGTTGGTCGCGTGTTATCCGAAACAGCTGTAATGCATAGTAAAAGTCTCGGACGTCTAAAACTAAGTCAGGCTTATATCTGCCAGTGATAATATACTTTGTCAAAAAGGGGAGTGAAATTAAGGTCAAGGTAACAAAAATGCATACACGTAGCTTTTGAAGTCCTTGTTGAACAAGCCATTCGTTTATAAAAGATGTCTGGCTTTAAAGTCTTCCATGTAATTATGAGAAAGATCGCATCTATCGAACTACGTTGTCAGACACCGGATCTTCAAAAAAATTAAACTGTAGGCTTGCGGCTTGCAGTTCAAATTCACGACCCCCAGGCACAAGTGACGGTCAAATGGAGAATATTTATAAGTTTCGAATTGGTCGGCGCATACGACGTCCAGCAACCAATGCAGGTGACTGACATCTGAAATGTCGAAGATCTAGCTGAAAACGGTCTCTAACGCTGGATAGAGGGTTTAAGGAGGTGGATGGGAGGACAAGTAACAGGGTGTGCCAGCATTGACGGGGACCAACTTTAAAACCTAAAAGTGCTTGATCATGGTGAATCTATACCTAGCTAGCAAAATCCTGTAAAGCAAATTAAGAAAGGCATAAAGCAAGGCTGACTACAGCGTCGTATATTATATTAGTCCCTTTTCCCCAAAAAGATATATTCAGCCTCTCACCTGTGAAGTCAGCCTTGCCTCTACATTTATCAACTGATATATTTGTCTATCCACAACGACCACAACCAATATTGGGCATGAGGCAGTTGCTATAAGATCTAAGCTAGATCTAGGTTTTAGATGTCATGGAACATTAATTTGTTGCCGAGCCTCTTCATTAATAGATTTTCTGTCAAATTTTTTGTATTTTTTTGTAGGACTGTGTTTTCACCAAAAACTTTTCTGATACTGCCCTTCATGTTTACTGGACGGGTGTATTGAGAATTCACGGCTGCAATTCCTGCTGCAAACGTTGGTACTTCACTTTCAATGGCGCTGAGTGTTCTGCTCCTCTGCCCATTGACGGAGTCGTCTACATGCAGACAGGTGGTAATAAAAATCTCCATCGTGTCCGCCATATTGAGGGGCACTGTAATAACATCCATAAAGGAAAGGTGCGCGTGGGATTCTGGATCGGAAATTGCCCCGGATATGGAAACGCTGATGGGTACACTGGATGGCAGTCAGTGTCCCGCGTATTTGTTGAAGAAGTTTCTAAAGCTCAAGCTTAAAACGGACTTTAGATTAAAGTGACTCAAGAGATTTATGAGTTATAATGAGTTCTTATACTACAGAAAGTAAACAAGTCCAAAGTGAAGGCGACAAAGTCAAAAAAAAAAAAAAGAATAAAGCTTTGAAAGCGAGTGAGTAATTCGACCCTTACGTAGGTGGGTAGTCTGTTGATGACTTTTATAATAATTTTAGACAGCAGTGCTCCAGATTGTTAAAAGCTATAACTCACAAGTCCGGGATTTCAGCACGATCTATTGACATATGATTGAGGCATTTATTAAAGTGTATAACTAAACAGATGCGTTTGCTGTTTGACCCTATTTAATTATTTCTCTTCTTAAGGTTTGATATATAATACAGAGATTTTGTAGATGACCTGAAACTAATCAAACCCTAGTAATTCTCTCCGGTAGACTGAAAACAGGAAATTAACTAGCCTCACTGTCAAGTAAGTAGCTGCCCGGCATTTCGCCCTAGTCTAACTTCCGCCGTTATGAAAGATTTATTTTCCCTCAAGTACCGAGAACAGTTGGACAAGATTCAACCACAGTGTAAAGGAACGGAACAAAATCCATTCTCAGCATCGGAAGTTTTGGTAAGTACAGTAAGCTGACTTATACACAGAACAGTTCCTTAGTTCCCTGACTGATCAGAGGGGCTGGACCTTTTTCGAAAAATTCCTCGTTGTGTGCTTCTTTGATAATTTTATTTCTTTAGCTCGTTAATTTTTTCTAATTAAAAGTAAACTACAAGGGTAATTCAGCTTCAACTTTTAGTCTTGCCAGGGTCCCCAACAGTCGGTCTTTTCAGCAGCTTTGCGCTCCTGAGAATCCGACGGCTTATTGATTGATGGGTCTAAAAATGCATTCTATCTTTCAGTTTGTTAACTACATCCGGGTACTTGTTACTGAGGTCATTGCGTTCGTACAGATCAGCGGTTAAATTGTAAAGAGCTACTTCAATCCTTTCTGGATTTTGATCCAGTTCCTGAATGGAATGATAATAATAATGGAAACTTTATTTGTGTTTTTGAATGTACAATTGTAAATCTCGCTACGTATAGGCAATTTACAAATGCTGCTTGAGATTGGATGATTAAAAAAAAAACAAAAACAAAAACAAAACAAAAGCAAAAAAAAAAAAAGAAAAAAAGAAAAGAAATCAAAATTGCATTAAGTCTGGGCTATCCCAATTCCTATTTCTACAACAAAAGATGTAATATGTTGCTCTAATGGCTATATTTATCGTTTTCTTGATTATATAAAGTTGATGCTTTTTGTCAATGCCAATGTATTCATCATGTCTGAGAACGTGGAGCATTTATCGGAGAAAACGCAGAGGGAGCTCATGGAGAGATTTACAAATCTCACACATCTGTAATTTCTTCTCATTTCGTTGATCAAGTTCAGATATTTTTCTCTTTCACGCACTGCATTGTTGTTAATGTCAGACTCGAAACCAACTGTTAATTCTAGAACATATAGGCACTTGGACTGGATTAGGAAAAGAAGATCTGGACGATAATTTTCACCAGTTATTATTGAGGGATTCAGAAAACCATTAACTTTTGCATAGAGTGAAGAGTGAACGTTAATTACAGGTTGAAGTGACTTGGCAATGAAGTTAAGGATTGAGTCGTGTCTCCAGGTAAAGCGATCAAGGTACTGTTGACAACCAGAGACAACATGAAGGAGTGATTCAGGATTAAGGTAAAAGGAACAATCAGGACTTTGTGATAATCCCCATCTTGCCATATTCTTACGTGTAGGGAGGGAGTTGTTGATGTAGCGGATGGTAAAATCGTAAATGTTCTTGGGTAGATGAGACTGGGCCTCTGACCAAATAACAATAATACAGATGATAATAATAATAATAATGACAGTGATAATGATAATAATAATAATAATAATATTAATAATAATGATAATATAGACAATTTTATTTAAAAAAACTATTAAAATCCTATTTACAATTAATTCGCTTAAAAAAAAAAGAAAAAACTATTCATTCAAAAACACTATTTACAATTTCTGTCGATTTAAAAAGCACTTAATTTAGCTTTAAAAAAAAGTTAATTAAAACTAAGAAAAAATTTTTTTTCGAATTAAAAAACATTTCATTTCAATAAAAAAAAACTGTCAACTGTCATATTAATAATAATAATAATAATAATAATAATAATAATAAAAATAATAATGAAGTGAACAGATTGGTAAAATAATGGTATTTCAAGGACTCCAGTGTCACTTAATTATCCTCAGGAAATAAACCTTGTCCTGTTGGTTCTTAGCACAACGAATCACTCCATGAGATAATTTGCCATTGGCACAACAAAACTATGTATTGACTTCTGGAGACCAATTATTGTCGTTACATAATTTTTAAAAGCACCCAGCTCCTTTTAATATTGCGTCCTTTTTATCTTGTTCACTGTTTTTGTCCTCAACGAAACTTAAAGAACAATTTCGTTTTAACAAAGTTAAAAAAGAGAGATGATTTTATAAAGCAGACAGATTTCTTTGTTAGTTGTTAGTGTTCCTTTTCTTACCGCGCACAACGTTGAATGTCTTGAATAGCATTCCTATCAATTTTTTATTTTTGAAGTAACTGAGCCCTTGTTCAGACGTCATACTTCACATAAGTAGGATCAATCCCCAAAAAGGGCCTGTCTACATAAAGGTGGGGCGCCCCAGGTAAAGGTGAGGTATCCTGCCTGTCCATATAATCTCTCATTTTAATTTGGTCACGTTTACATGATAGGTGGGGTGACCATATGAGAGATTATATGGACATGCGGGTTACCCCACCTAAGCGGGGTACCACACCTACCTGCAATCCTCGTCAAATTCAGTTGGGACACCCCGTGCTGTACCCGTATTCCGACAAAACGTTGTACTCCTTGCCCCCCTCTACTGCTTTTTTTTGCTTCTGACACGCCACAACAACAACACCACTACCACCAACAAAAAAGCTTTATTTTCATGACCATAAAGGTATTGCAGTATTGCAAAAGCTACTAATCTAGCTTTAATTACTAATTCAACTAATTATTGTAAACCATTACAGTTCTCATTCATTCATTGGTATTAATATATTTCTTAATTCAAAGCATTGCGAAATAAATAAAACTAATTAATTCACAATTAATTAAATAATCAGAAGATTTCATGAAATGAGATATTAAAGTATTGTGTGAAAGCGATTTGAGGTCAGGTATTTTAGTTTCTCTTTTGGAGGAAATACGTCTCTGATCTGAGAATAGGCCTTACAATCTAGTTAGAAATGATTTTCACTTTCAATTTCTGTAACTGTTACAAAAGGAACATACCCTTTCATTACAAGGGGTTTTTTGTATCTAGGTGTTTCAATTCTAAGTTGATGACTAGTTATTCTAAGTAATGCTTTTCTTGAGGGATTTTTCTTGTTAAAACTAGGTACGGAGAGGGGCTATAGTCCTTTTTGATTGACAATAAACTGAAACTGAGTTTTGGTGATTATTGAGGCGTCTGGTTCCCGTAAGAAACGTATTTATTTTTCATTATGCCGACATACCATTTAAGTTTAGAGTCATTCAATGAATTATGCAAGAACAGTCACAGTTTAGATCTTAGTAGTCAACCATCTTCATGAGATTAGAGTAAAAGCTATTTTATCCTCTATAATGAAGGTCAATTGAAATTTGTAAGGCCTCTTTAACTATACGATCTTCATCTTTACCTATCAGATAGCTTAAGTAATTTAGAATCTTTTTATTTACAGCTGTATTTATATCACTGATCTTGGGGAATTTACCGAGTTCAGCTCTACATGCAATGTTGGATGCCTTGTTGTGTACTTGTAAATCAGTCGAGTTGTAAATGGGTTTTCTCAATTGCAAAGCTGTCCCAGGACTTAAAATCTGATTTAATAAAAGCACCCCAAACTTCATTGTTGTAGGTTAAAATTGGTGAAATCATTGAGTCAAAAATTTGACATGCAAGTGAGGGCTTAAGATCATTCAGATCTTTGTGCCGTCTTAAGCTGCAGAACGCATCAGTGACGCATGATAAGATAGCAATAAGTACTTCGTCTGGCGGCGATGGTTTTCCAGAGGAGATTGCTTCCCATATGTCATAACCATGAATTAGCTTTGGATATTCTCGGTCAACACTGCCTCCTAACAGCAAAAAAGGTCGTAGCTTATGGATGATTGCTTACAATAAATTAAGACGAAAATGAGCAAAAGATTACCTTTACATTAAATCGATAGTGCACCAAACCTCAAAAAACCCAATGAGATCACGCATATATCTTTCAAATAAATAACTGGGGGAAATCGTGTTCAGTTGATTAATTACCCCTTAACGGGTTGTTGGCCACTGTTTTCTCCGGAATCGTTTGCTATACATGGAGGAACGAGAAACGAGGGCTGCACCCGAGAACAGAAAAGAGCCTCTCCCGTCGAGTGCCTTCAGGCATGCGCGTGGTCATTTTCGTGTCTCGAGCGTTTCGTTCGACGAACTTAGAGAAAAGAGAGACTGCTGCTACTGTTGCTGCGTAGTTTCCCTCCATTTCTCCCGCTTCCTGGCCTTTAAGATCTCTTATCCCAGGCTGTTTTCTCGGCTATTTGGAGCAACCTTTGCTGCGGTGCAACTTGATTAAAGTTTTAGCAACTCATGGGAATAACAAAGTCTTCTAATACTGTGTAAACCTCGTCGTGTGGAGTCAACCCTGTCTCCCCCTTCCCTCCCCCCCTCAGATGAATTATCCTTGGTAACAAGCCCATGCCGCGAGTGGGGTCTGAGGTCAATGATTTCCAAATAAGACCACGCTTTCAAAAATTCCAACTCCGACTTTTCTGCCTCGAATGAAACGACTCTATCAGAAGAGGAGAATGCACGTACACAATGAAAACTAAAGAGAAAAACGATCTTCAGAGATCTGAGACGGTTTTCGTCTCACAACGTTCAGTGTGATCGTTCTGTTTACTCAAATGACACTAAACAATTTACGGTCTGCTCAAAAGGTGTAAGGTAAAAATACAGTTTTAATTTGTAGAATAACCAGAGAAAGACATTGTTATATGGAAGGCTTAAATTGTCCAGTGTCCCTTTGACTTGAGTAAAAAGATATAGTGACCTAATTGTGTCGGAAAAAATTCCATTACACAGTTGCTGTGCATTTAAACGCCACCCACCGTAGATGAGTTAAATAAAAGAAAGCAGCTCAGAAAACCGTGACTAGTTTTTAAATTGCTTTTATTAACATCGTGCAATTGTTTTTTCCAAAACTAGTCTCTCTTGTTGTAAAGAGATCGAAATCGAAGATCCTCAAATCTTTCTTTAGAGTGGCAGTGCGCTTATCGACATTTAGCTACTCTACCTAAACGAGCAAACCAAAAAATTAGGTCCGATTCAGACGCCGATCTTTTTATGAGCCGAATCTAATTCGAATTAAGGCCGACCCAAATTATTTAGACCATCTGAACTGATTCAGACGCCGATCTTAATTGCAGCTGAACTAAGTTCAAAAGGTGAAAAATGCTCATTTCGGTCAAACTGCTTACATAATACGTTATAGTAATTTATGCATTAGGTTCGGTACATGAAAAGCTCCGTGTCTGAATCAAAGACGCTCCAAAGTCGCTTCAAAGGCGAAATTCTCGGCCAGGCTAGGCGAAAAGAACGGCTGAGCCGTTCCAAATTGAAACAGGCGTTCCTAATTGATTCAGACGCCGAACTTTTCTTGTACTTAATTCAATGTACTAGGTTCGGCTCGTGAAAAGTTCGGCGCCTGAACCGGGCCTTACAAACACATCACAGTTGCTGTTTACGGTTAAGTCTTTTATATGCCTGATCGGCTTCTAAATTTCAGCGAACCGCCGTAAGCACCGGTTTCGTACAGAAATGCCTTTGGAACCTTTGCACTCTCATCTTCGCAAAAGTAAACGGAAACTTTGCATTTGACGCTGAACGTTATGCCGCCGTGAAGAGTATTCTAAGAGCTAATCTTCAAGAACACAACCTAAAACGAAGGCCTAATGATTCCATACTCAAGTAGAATAAGGCCTGGGTCATTACAAAGTTTTCAGAAGTTTTAAAGGGGAGTGGTATAACGTAAAGTATTTTCAAGATATCCCATGAGTAACAATTTAAGGCCAATCACAACCTAGAAATCTTCCAATTTCATTTTAAAAATATTTATAACTACATCACATCACCAGCCACGCCCTGTTTTATTGAGAAATGCTTTGAGTCGAAATTCCCAAGAGAAAGAGAGTAAACCGTTTTTCTTTAGTAGGTCGAAAAGTGGCTACTAATAGTCTTCATGTAAAAACAATCGGAATGACGCGAGGTCAATAAACGTCTTTCCCCTGTCGATAATTTTATTTGGAGGAGGACTGGCACTAGTCAGTGAACATCAATTGCACCTGCCAATTGTAATGCTTCGAACCATTCCGAGCTGATTTCGTAGACACTTTGTAGGGACAATGTTTTGATACAGAGAAACTGGAGCTATACTCGTTTGGCAAGTGGTGGGAATCGTTGGTTACAATTTTCGAACAGTGGAGGGCGTGGTCGATCACGCGACCAAATAATTTAAATATCTTCTTTCAAGTTTTTTAGATTTAGTTTTCATTACCATATATCGTCCCTCGTGGATGTCTTTAACCATGGTTTTTAGAAACTGTACATAAAAATCGAAAAAGACTTAGACCCAGGCCTTAATCTACCTGAGTAATTGAAGCCTAGCTTGAACAGACAGATTAACTATTACGTTGCGAAACTTTTCCCATCGAAAAGGAGGATATGACATGTGCGATTATATGTAGTGGACGGTATTTTCTTACCTTGATGATGCCCTGTAGAGTCGAATACGTTCGGATTTTTCTTTTTTAAGTATATAAGTTTTAGCCTTGTCAGTAGTTCATTCTTTAAACCTAAGCGGATTTCCTAGACAAAATAACATTCCAGTAATATTTCTGACGTTCACGGTTTTGTGAGTGTTAAAATAAAACCTTGATCCACGCCCAGATTGGTATTGTGCTTCACATTTTAGGGTTCATTTCCAATTTTCTGACGAGCACAGCCTATCTCTACGCTTTCAGCTATTTGAGTCCTTGGGAGGCAAAGGGAAAGTCATTTTGGGAATTTAAAAACTTTTTGACTTATTGACAGCGTATTCAGCTTCTTAGTAAGCCATATTTTATTACAAAGGTTAATTCCATTCAGCCTCTGTTTACTCTGGCACATCCTTGTGTTTTTATTAGCAGTCGTTTTATAGATATGTCATTTTACTGCAAGACCCTCTTACATTAAGTTTTTTTCTTGCAAATAAAGGGCTATCCTGGGATAACTACATTTTTATTGAGAGGAGGATAACGCTGAATTCTAGCATTCTAGTGTTTCATGCTGATCTAAGGGATCGAGTAAACTCAGATAGCGCTATCTTGAAAACGGGGGTATATGGAGAGACAACCACACAGTCACGTAGCCTCTCTTGTTGGTACTTGAATCACCGTGACAACGGGGGTTGATCTTTAAGGAAAGACGTCATCTGTTCTGTTGATGGGATTCGGACCATTCATATTGGAGAAACGGTGTGGCGTGATATCTTTTAAGAACAAGGCAACACTGCACTTGTGGAAACAGGTTTCACTTTTGCTTTCAGCTTTGCTGGGTACAGCTACGTGTGCTTAACGCAGGATCAAGACTGCCAAGGTACATTTACTTAATCTAAACCAAGGAGAGACTTCTTCTTAGTTAATGGCCTCCATCCTTGTTTAACATCAGGAAAGTATTGCTTATTGGGTAGCCATTCACTCAAGAAAGTTCAGGGGAAGAGCAAAAATAATTCACAGATCAGAGCTTCTGTGTGGGTACCCACGGACGTGGGTTTCGTCGGGCGTTTTCCATCAAATCGTTGGTTTTTCTAGCAAAATCGTCGCATATCAAGAATTGCATGCTTTGCGCAATGTAACGCTACTAACGAACTCCATTCAACCATTGCGACGAGGTAAACGAGAAAATAAGCGGAAAAAAAAAAAAACATCTGAACGTGCAGCGCACTTTTTGCAAGTTTCGTTGCCATCATTCCATGCACAACAAATGTTGTCAAACTTAATTGAAATGACAATGCGATCGTCACTTTAATCTCTAAGATGTTCTCTTCATCAATGGTGATCGTTGCGACTTCGATTTCGTCGAAAATACCCATACAGAGGCTCACATCTACAGTTTTCTAGAGATTTTTACTTTCAGTCTGTGCGTGTTACTGCAATGCAAATGCTTGCTATTGTATGTAGCAAAGATTACTTGCATGTGGTAATAACCATGAAAGTAGCCAAATTTAGTAATCAAAGTTTTACGACGAACACTTGCGCATTATTGTTACGATACACTGAGTGACTCCAGATTACGTGCACTGTTGCTGTTCCCTAAAAACTGAAATTTGAATTGCGTATTTAAATAAGGTGCTAAGTACTTAAGCTGATTTAAAATTCTTTTTAACACTCCCCCGTGCTTGGTATTACCCATGTGCACAGCTATATCCCTTTTGAAGAATTATTCACCAAAGGTTAAAGGTTAATCTTATTATGTCAACTTTGTTTTATTCAAGTTAAGTAAATATTTTCGGACCACAAAACTGATGAGTGATTGCAATGAACACTAAGCAACAATAACTGATGTTTGTGGAGGTGGGGTGGGGGGAGGAGGGTGTTGTTGGGGGGGGGGGTGCCTGAAAGTACCAGGCTAAAGTGTATCATCCTCTTTTCCACAGGCAGCTGAGGAGCTTTTGACAGATCTGGTCGCGTGAACTGGTCGAACTGATCATCATGCTAAGTTTATTAATGTTACTGCTGGCCATGATGACTTCTGTAGCGGCAACTAGCGGCAACAAACAGTCCGCACAAGCCACGGTACAATTTTTTAAAACAACTTTTGAGCAACTTTCGCTACAAAAAAAAAACTTTTGACTTTCTTTTAGGAGCTTTTGGGCAACTTTTTGAGAAATTAAGGGATTTTTTTTGGGAAATCTCGAGCAACATGTGGAAAGCCCACAAGACGCCACGCCACTGACATTTGACTGAAGAAAGACGTAATGGTGGAGAGGTGAAGATAACACCTATTTAAGAAGCAGACAGGAGAAGCGAATACATGAAAATGAAAAAAACGTCACCTTTTCTGAATCTGAGACCTTAGGAGATTGAAATTTTCAGATAAAAACTAGCCCATTGTACAAGCATTTTTCTTATATAAGGAAAGCTCGAGCTGTTTCTACTAAAAGTACACGTACCGGCATTTCTGCCTTTCAGTTTTTTGATCAATCAGTCGAGGGATAACAAGATATATTTTTTATAACTTTTACTATTTTCTTGTTTGAAACTAGCAATCTCCATCGTTTTGTTATGGTGGTTGTGGCATTCCCGGCATGCCCGGTAAGCATGGTACTCCTGGGGCACCAGGTCGCGACGGACGTGACGGACGTGATGGCCGTGATGGAGCTAAAGGCGATCAAGGATTGCAGGGAAAGACTGGACCTCAGGGACCTCCTGGTAATAAGGGACCTGCTGGTGTAAAGGGAGAGGATGGGGTTAAAGGAGAAACTGGAGCCCAGGGTCCTCCCGGTCAAAAATGGGAACTTGGCCCGATGCCGTTTAAGAATTGGAAAGAATGCGCCTGGAAAAACTTGAATGATGGAAAGGACAATGGTCTGATCAAGGTGAGTCGTGCGTTTGCGATTGATCAGCATACAATTATCAAATTTACACACAACACAGAGCATGCAGCAGCCATTTTCTAAAAGGCCTTTTGCATACCAACGAATATCTAAAGGCTACTGGCCGCGCACTCATTATAAAGCGACATTCTCTATATAGCAACCTAGTTACACACGTAGGCTTGTATACTGAATTCTGTCGGCAGAATTTCGAGCGCATAAGGTACTCTCTCCAGTATTGTCAATGGTATTCACTATTGGTCATTATCAAAATAAAACTTGAAAAAAAAATATATACATATACTATATATATCGTGACGCGACGAATTATGGACAAAGTGGCTTAATTTTACTGTGATTAAATTTTACTTCATATTCTTGAACCGTAATTATAAATAGCTTTTGCAATACTAGTATGTACTTGTATGGTTCTGCAAATAAAGCTTGTAGTTGTTATTGTTGAATTCGAAACTTCAACATCCCCCAAGGCCCCGCCCCCCTATCCTTGGGCATTTGAACTTTTTAAGGCACGCCTGATCAAATTCTCCTTCTCTCCTCCCAAAAGGCCCTCGCTGGGTATCCCATTGTCTCCCGTGCGCTTCCTTTTTCTCTCTCTCCAGCTTCCCTACGATACAGAGAGGCTTTTGCGGAGGAAAAATAAATTCCTTTTTATACATTACGGCCTAATGTAGTAGTCAAATGACTCTCCCAAAGAAGAAATCTTTTGAAGATTATATGTTGTGTGGAAGAAAGGTAAATGTTTCGGACGTGTAAAAGTAAGTCGGGCTTATATCTTCCGGTCATGATAATTTACTTTTATTGATCAAACTTGGTGAACTTTATGATGTATCTGAGCGAGAACCTGTCCCCTCAAGGAACCAAATTAGGGCCTTGGCTTTTTTTGACTGTGATTAAAGACCTTGTTGTCAAAAATGCACGCTTATGGAAATATGTAGATAATACCATATCATATACCATAATTATGATACCATATATATTACTTCTATATGCTTTAGAAGTTGTAGACTGTAAAGTTATTGGGTCTCAATATTTCCAGTGATTTGACCTGGAATATCTATATTAATGAAACTGTTAAGAAGGGCTCCAAGAGATTATATATTTTTTGGTACAACTTAAGAGAACTAAGGTTACTCGCACTGATTTAGGGCTCTTCCACTCTAGTTGTATTAGATCAATTATGAACTATGCACTACCGGCCTTTCACTTCAGTTTGCCTAAATATTTAACGTTAAGTTATTACCTGCACCGCACGAATCTACTTATTCATTAAGGCGTGCGTGATCTTTTAACATGCCACGTTTTAAAACTGACCTTTTTAAGAATAGCTTTATTATCTTTTCATGTCTTAAAGCAACTAACTTATAGGTTAAAGTTTTCAAATTTCGCAGCTTGTATTTCGATAACTTTTTTTGGCATCTCATCTCTTGTCAGCTTCTTTATTCCTTTTAATTAAGGTAGATTAGTTAATGCTTAGATCTATAATTTAATTTTTGTAACGTAAATACGCAATTCAGTTTTCGAACTGCTATGTATTTATGAATTAATAAACTTCAAACAAAAAAAGGGAGGGAAATTGGGGTCAAAGTAACAAAACAGCATACGCTTAGCCTTTGGAGTAAAAAAAGCCATTCATTTACAACAGATGTGTCTTAAACAGTTTCAAGTCTTCCATCTAATTATGAGAAATTTCGCATCTACCGATGTGAAATAAGTTGCCAGACACCGGAGCTCAAAAAAAGTTAAACTTGAGGCTTGCGGTTCAATTACCCACCCCCACCAGTGATGGTCAAATGCCCGGGTTGCTTCCAGCAACCAATAGGCGTGACATCTGGACAGTCAAAGTTCTAGCTGAAAACAGTCTCTAACGCTGGATGAAGGGTTTGGGAGGTGAAGGGGAGGACAAGTAACGGGGGCACCGTTTAAAGAGGCCAAATTAAAAACCTAAAGGTGCATGATCATCATGATGGTGGATCTACTCCTAGCCAGTAAAATCTTGTATAGCACAAAATTAAAAAAATGCAAAGCTGACTACAGCAGTAGATTATATTAGTTCCTTTTTCCGAAAAAGGATAAATTCAGTCTCACAGCTGTGAAGTTAGCCTTGACCTCTACATTCATGAACTGATTTATCTGTCTGTCCACAACGACCACAATCAATATTGGGCACTAGCTAGGCAGTTGCTATTAAATGTAAGCTAAATCTAGGTTTTAGATGTAATGAAACATTAATCTGTTACTGAGCCTCTTCATTAATAGATTTTCTGTCAAATTTTTTGTGTTTTTTGCAGGACTGTGTTTTCACCAAAAACTTTTCTGATACTGCCCTTCATGTTTACTGGACGGGTGCACTAAGGATTGCCAGCTGCAATAGCTGCTGCAAACGTTGGTACTTCACTTTCAATAGCGCTGAGTGTTCTGCTCCTCTGCCGATTGACGGAGTTGTCTACATGGCGACGGGCGGTAATAAAAATCTCCATCGCGTCCGCCATATTGAGGGGCACTGTAATAACATCCATAAAGGAAAGGTGCGCGTGGGATTCTGGATCGGCAACTGCGCTTCATATGGAAACGCTGATGGCCACACAGGATGGAATTCAGTGTCCCGCATATTTGTTGAAGAAGTTCCTAAAGCTCAAGCTTAAAAGTGACTTTAGATTAAAGTGACTCATGAGATCATGAGTTATTATGAGTTCTTATACTACAAAAAGTAAAAATAGATAAACGACTTTGAAAGAGAATGAGTGATTTCGACCCCTACGTGGTTGGGTAGTCTGTTAATGATTTTTATAATAGTTTTAGACAGTAGTGATTCAGATTGTTAAAAACTATAACTCACAAGTCCGGGATTTCATCACCATCTATTAACCAATGATTAAGACGTTTACTAAAGTGTATAACTGAAAAGTAGCGTTTGCTGTTTGAGCTTATTTAATTATTTCTCATTCAAAGCAATTCTTCTTAAGGTTTGATAATAGAGAGGTTTTTACCTGACCTGAAACTATATAATCAAACCTCAGCATTCCTCGCCAGTAGACTAAGAGCAGAGAATTAACTTAAGTCGCTTTCGAAGTTTGAGGCAACTCTCATAAGTTTAGTGATCGCGGAGGGAACATTTTATCATGTTTACTCTTGTGATAGCTAAGGACAGCTAATTGTATTCCAGAGACTCTTGGTCAAAAGCTCCCCATTTCAGTACCATTTAGCAACCGAGAAGTACTCGCTAATAAGTCGTCGTTTTTTTTTTCGCGCCAACTTTCACGCCAAGCTTCTGTTCTCATTTTTCTTACACGGTCAGCTCTTTGATCCATTCACTAGATAACCATGTTTTTTTCCCTCCTGACTCAGGTGATTGTACCAGTTATACAACGGCACAATTTGTCCACCCCCCGCAGAGTCGTCGGCTAGCCATACTTGTTTAACACCTGGTGTGCTTGTCCTTAAGCTCTGGATCATGATAGATGTATTGACCAATAATAATAATAATAAAAATAATTACAATAATAATAATTTTTTTTTATAATAATAAAACAAAACTTTATTCATAGATTTAAAAAAATAGACTATTTACAGATTTAAGAATATGAAATATTAAAATATATACCCTATGTACATTCTTCTTGTGTACGAAAGAGAATTGTCGTAAAATGACTATCTAAAGACTACTAATAACAACTATAAAAAGCATCAAAAAGTAAATAAAAAAAAATAAAAACTATTTAAAAATAATAATTCAAACTGATAAAAAGTTACTACTTAAATTAATAATAATAATACTTAATAATTAATAATAATAATACTTAAACAATAATAAAATAATAATAATAATAATATTAATAATAATGATAATGACAATGATAATGATAATGATAATGACAACGATAATTAATAATAATCAAAGAAGTGAACAGAACAGTATCAATTATTTATTTTTGAAGTAACTGAGCCCTTGTTCAGACGTCATACTTCACATGAGTCGGATCAATTCCAAAAAAAGGGCCTGTTTACACAAAGGTGGGGGACCCCAGGTAGGTGAGGTAATTCGCATAGGTGGGGTAACCTGCCTGTCCATATAATCTCTCATTTTAATTTGGTCACGTTTACTTAATAGGTGGGGTGACCGTAGGAGAGATTATATGGACATGCGGGTTACCCAGATAAGTGGAGTACCTCACCTACCTGCAATCCTCGTCACATTTAGCTGGAACACCCTTTGCTGTAACCATATTTCTGACAAAAAGTTGTGCTCCTTCCCCCCCCCCGTGTAAATTTTTTTGCGTCTGACATGAAAACTCGCAAAAGCCAACATTGAAAGGAAAAAATACCCCTACTGTTCTGACTAATGTGACGAGGTGACGAGTATTGCAGTCTTCGTCACATTAAGTTGGGACACCCCGTGCTGTACCCATATTCCGACAAAAAGTTGTGCTCCTTGCTCCCCCCCCCGTGCTTTTTTGCTTCTGACACGCAACAACAACAACAACAACAACAAAAGCTTTATTTTCATGACCATAAAGGTATTATAGTATTGCAAAAGCTACTAATCTAGCTTTAATTACTAATTCAACTAATTATTGTAAAACATTACAAAACATTACAGTTCTCATTCATTCATTGATATTAATTTATTTGTTAATTCAAAGCATTGCGAGATAAATAAAGCTAATTAATTGACAGTTAATTAAATAATCAGAAGAATCCATGAAATGAGATATTTTAGTTGATTTTCTCTTTTGGAGAAAAATACGTCTCTGATCTGAGAATAGGCCTTACAATCTAGTTGGAAATTATTTGCATCTTCAATTTCGTAACTGTTACAAAAGGAACATACCCTTTCATTACGAGGGATTTTTTTGTATCTACCTGTTTCAATTCTAAGTTAATGACTACTTATTCTAATTTTAAGTAATGCTTTTCTTGACGCGGGGTTTTTTCTTGTTAAAACTTGGTACGGCGGGGGGCTATAGTCCTTTTTGATTGTACAATAAACTGAAGCTAAGTTTTTGTAATTGTTGAGGGGTCTGGTTCCCACCGTGAGAAACGTATTTATTTTTCATTACGTCGACATACCGTTTAACTTTAGAGTCATTCAATGAATTATACAAGAAAAGTCATAGTTTAGATCGTAGTAGTCAACCATCTTCATGAGATTAGAGTAAAAGCTATTTTTTCCGCTATAATGAAGGTGAATTGAAATTTGTAAGGCTTGTTTAACTATAGAATCTTCATCTTTATCTTTCAAATATAGCTTAAGTAATTTAAAATCTACCTATTTATAGCACTGATCTTGGGGAATTTACCGAGTTCAGCTCTACATGCAATGTTCGATGCCTTGTTGTGTACTTGTAAATCATGCAGTCGAGTTGTAAATGGGTTTTCTCAATTGCAAAGCTGTCCCAGGAGTTAAAATCTGATTTAACAAAAGCACCCCAAACTTCATTGTTGTAGGTTAAAATTGGTGAAATCATTGAGTCAAAAATTTTACATACAAGTGAGGGCTTAAGATCATTCAGATCTTTGCGCTGTCTTAAGCTGCAAAACGCATCAGTGACGCATGATAAGATATTAATAAGTACTTCGTCTCGCGGCGGTGGTTTTCCAGAGGAGATTGTTTCCGATATGTCATATTGTCTTTGGATATTATCGGTCAACACTGCCTCATAACAGCAAAAAAGGACGTAGCTTAAAGATGATTGCTTACAATTGCAATAAATTAAGACGAAAATGAGCAAAAGATTACCTTTACATTAAATCTATAGTGCACCAAACCTCTAAAAGCCCAATGAGATCACGCATTTATCTTTAAAATAAATATCTGGGGGAAATCGTGATCAGTTGATTAATTACCCCTTAACGGGTTGTTGGCTACCATTTCCTCCGAAATCGTTTGCTATGCATGGAGGAACGAGAAACGAGGTTGCATCCCGAGAAGAGGAAAGAGCCTCTCCCGTCGAACGCCTTCAGGCATGCGCATGGTCCTTTTGCGCGTCTCGAGCGTTTTGCTCGACGAACTAGCACTCGTCGCGCACAGAAATTTCCCACCACATTCGCACCAGGGAGCTTTCATAATCCATTGTCTAAGAAACGTTGTATTCACTGTATTGTGTTTCTCTAGTGTGAAAAAACCTTTTCTTATATATCAACTACTAAAGACGTCAATATAGTCAAGTCAAATTGTGGTTTAGCATCAAACTAATTGCAACAGAATTTTTTTCAACGGCATTTAATTGTTGGATAGCTATTTAACAACATACTAAAAATCCGCCAAAATCGGTTCGGTGAAACATGAGAAAAATTGGAAATAAAGATTTTCAACTTTCACCACAGGAGACCCAATTTCAGGAAGATCACAAATTCAAACAAAACATCTGATAATTGTGGTTTTTTTCCTCACGAATTTTCGATACAACATCGCTAATGTATTTTGGGTAGATTTGTTTTCTTCACATTCTATTTTCCAAGCTTTAATTTTTTTTTGCGGCATTTGAAAGGGAAATTATTAGTCAGTCTGTGCTAACATGGTTAGAAATATTTAGTAATTTTTTTGGCGCAATTTCAGAAATGCATTAAGTATTTTGGCGGAGTCACAGGCTGGTAATTTTTTATATCCTGCAGCATCGATGCCAATTTGGTAGCTGACTGATGGTGAACAGTTTGACGTGATATTTCGTTCACCTTCAGTCAGCTACTAAATTTGCATATCCATGCTGCAGGATACGCGCGACTAAATGTGTGCAACGGACTATAGCTTTGTATCAGTACAAACTGTTTAACCTATTCCCATTTTCTGTAATCGAGTTTTTTAAGGTAGTTATGTTCAAACCTTGGACACAATGTGTGATCGAAATCAGGGACTCTGTTTTTTGCTTGCGACGTGCGCAATCTCCTTTAGGATTATGACTCCGTACTTTACAGTGTGAGTGAATATTAAATATTCTGCTAAGGAATCCGTCTATTTGGTTTTTGCTATAGATCGTAACACTCTGCGCTTTTCATTACACTTGGCCGAATCTGTTGTAAGGGAAATCCAGAAAACCAAGCACAGTGTGACTGTTCTTTTTTTATCTTCTTCTTGTAGCGAGTCTCAGACTTAGCTTCTGATGGCGCACCTCTTTTGGCGGAACCAATGTTTCTCTTCGGACGAGCGTTGTGTAACGGCTTCAACTCAACTGCATGTTAACCTTCTGACTGAGTTGCGTGAATTATGCACTGGGTGGGGAATTTCCATCACTCCATAGACTCTTACAAGATATTTTACATACGCATTGCTTTGGCTACCCAGAGTTAATCTTTCCCTTAAAAACAAGCTTCACTATTAAACTATTTCGTTGCGCGGAGTCGGAGTGGACGGACGTGTTTTCTAAGCAGCGCGAAATTCGACTCCCCAAATCCAGAATTTCGTTGGGTTCTTGTCTTTTTTGCTCTTGTTTTTACTGTTAAATTGCTTGCTTTGTTTCAACGTCCATAATGTCGGCAAATTCGAGGAAAAACAAACGAGGTGACCGGGGTTCTAGCTCAGGTTCTGCTGAAAATTCCGCCAAGAAGCCAAACATGAAGGAAACCGAGGAAAAAGATATATTCGGCGACGAGGACTCCTCTAAAGAAGAACCAACTCTGCTGGAAATTAAACTGATGCTGTCATCTATACAGTCCTCAATTACGAGCATCTCGAGTGAAAACGTCAAATTTAGAGAAGACATGGAGGAGCTAAAGAATTCGCTGAGATCCAATGAACGTGAACTCAAGGAGCTTAAAGCGTCTCTTGATAAGGCTAACAAGCAAAATGCTCTACTTCAGAAAGAACTACTTGGGACTAAAACAAAACTAAACGAGCAGACGGAAAGGATCGACTCGTTGATTGAATCGCTTGATAACCTCGAGTAATATTCGAGAAAAAATTCCCTGGAAATACATGGTATCCCGGAAAATATTTACACCTCAACGGAAGAAGTTGTTCTCAAGGCTGTTAATGTCCCTGTTGCTGCGGAGGACATCGAAATCTCTCACAAGCTAAGACGACGAAATGGTATGAAGCCTATAATTGTAAAATTTTGTAGCCATAAAGTGAAGTCTCGGCTATATAAAGAGCGAACGAAATTGAAGTCAGTAAAGATATCAGATTTATATCCCAGTTATGCCTCAGCAGCAACAAAGCAAAACCGTATATTTATCAACGAAAACCTCACACCTTATAGGGCAGACTTAGTAAGACAAGCGAATGATGTGAAGACTGATGGGCTTTTATCAAGTGTTTGGACACTAGACGGAAAGGTCTTTGTTAAAACTTCACCATCAGGTAATCCTGTTAGAATTTACTCTGAAGATGATCTTGATGAATTATAAATGCTTAACAAACATCCATGCAATGATTACGGGAGGTCGATTTCGCCATAGGCTTAGATTGTACGAAGGTTAGTCTCTTAAGCGTATTTTTCTTAAAAAACTTTTGTAATTTATTAGTTCTTGTTGTAAAGTTAGGTTTTCCTTTTTGCTTTTTCTTATTAATCTATTCTGTTGCTTTTTCTTTGTTTGTTTTCTTTTTCTTAATTACTTCGTTGCTGTTGAGCTTAGTTAACGTAGCCTTATATTAGCATAACTATTGTGCATTTAAGTTTAGGTGTAAGATTTTAGGTGATAATACAGTATGATACTTATCAAATTCCTATCACTGAATGTAAGGGGATTACGCAATCATGTCAAACGAAGGGCATTATTTTCGTATCTAAAGAATCAAAAAGCTGATTTCTATTGTCTCCAGGAAACATTCTCACTGAAAGGAGACGAAGTCTCTTGGGCTACAGAATGGGGTGGGAAAGTATTTTTCTCACACGGTACAGAACACTCTAAAGGTACTTGCATATTACAGAGACCAAATTGAAATTCTTTGTTTTCATTTAGCGTCCAGCTTATTGATCCAGATGGTAGATTAGTCATTGTTAAAATTAGGGAAGGCGATGAGGATCTTTTTTTAGCCTCTGTGTACGCTCCTTGTGACCCTCAAAACAAATGTTGTTTTATTCAGAATTTAAGTACTGTTTTTGTTTCTAACACAAACACGTCCAAAGTTATTTTTGTTGGTGACTGGAATACTACTCTTCGCTCAATAGATAAATACGGAGGACGCCCATGGTTTGGGACGAACTATAGAAACCTTCTTCTTCATTTTATGGATGAACTAGGTCTTGTTGACGCCTATCGTGCCTTACATCCTAAACGAAAGGTTTTACTTATGAATCAAAACCTCTTAAGCTTAAATCAAGAATTGACCTTTTCATTATTTCACAGTCATTAAAGCCAAACATAAGGAAGGCTGAAATTCGATCTTCAATTGTTCCAGATCATAAAGCCATCTTTCTGAGTTTAGAAATTAATGATGCGTACCAACGAGGTCCAGGTACATGGAAATGCAATAATACTTTATTGGAGGATAATAATTACATCGAAATAATCACGGATTGTGTTTCGAGAGTTTTAGTTAAGTATCAAGAAGTTGAGAGTCTTCAACTCTTATGGGAACTTATTAAGACGGAAATTCGTACTGAAACAATAACGTATTCAAAAGCTAAACGTAAGTAATCGAAAAATAGGGAGACTTATCTTCAGGTGAAGCTTGATGCTCTGGACAACCAATTGTGTCATGGAGGTGACTATTTCAACCAAGTATTGTTAGATGAGTATGAATTCATTAAGACTGAACTTAAGGATATGTACGAAGAAAGAGGTAAGGAAGCTATGTTTCGCTCAAAAACCCGTTGGATTGAAAAAGGTGAGAAACCAACCAGATATTTTTTCAATTTGGAAAAGCGCAACTTCGAGAAGAAGACTATAGCTCAACTGAAACTCGTGAACGGCGAAATTGTTTCGGACATGAAACAAATAAATAAGGAAATAGAGTCCTTTTATAGTGATCTTCTTGAAACAAAATTATCTGACTCTCATCTCACGGACTTCGGAGAGAACTTTAACACCTTTGTGGAAAACTTAGTCATTCCTAAATTGTCTGTAGAACAATCAATGCCTCTTGAAGTTGAACTTACACTTGATGAGATTAAAGAGGTTTTGCAATCTTTTCAAAGTAATAAATCCCCTGGTGAAGATGGCTTCTCAAAGGAATTTTATGAAAATTTTTTTGACTTAATCGGCATGCATCTCCTTAATTCATACAATGAAGCCTTTACTAAAGGTCAATTGTCAATAGGGAGCTTTAGCATCGACGACGGCAACTGCAGCGAAAACGTCAGTTTTAAAATGAATTCCCGTTTTTTCAATCTTTGTCGCGTTTATTCCAATTTGCTGAAAATGGCAAGTGTAGGCGAATTTCCCTGGAGTTGATTTCTTGAGGACCGCACTCAAGTTTAGAGAGGGAAAAAGAGATTCGTCGTCGCTTGTTTACGTCCTCCATAAAACCTGCAATTTATAGGCATTTTCACGTCGTAGTCGTGCAAGGACGGTAAAAAAATGAACAAAAAAGCGTGATGCACGTGCAGAGTTGTTGTTTTGCTCAACAAACCTATTGCTGTTTTGACGTCCTCTTTGCCGTCGCCGTCGCCGTCGTCGTTGCTAAAGCTCCCTAATATCTCAAAGACGCGGTATGATCTGTTTAATACCTAAAGACGACTGTTGTCTCATTGAGCTGTCTAATTGGCGCCCACTAACTCTACTTAATGTTGATTATAAAATCTTGGCTAAAGTTATTGGTCAAAGAATTGAGTCAACCTTATCTTCGCTCATACATACTGATCAAACAGGCTTTGTTAAAGGTAGATTCATTGGCCAAAATGTTCGGCTTTTGAATGACATCATAGAATACGCAGATGCTAAAAAACTCCCAGGTATCCTTCTATTCATTGATTTTCGAAAGGCTTTTGACACTATTGAGTGGAATTTTATTCACAAATGTATTGAACTATACAAATTCGGCCCAAATATCAGGAAATGGATATCCATTCTTTACAACGATGTTGAAAGTGGCGTGCTGAATGCTGGATTTCGATGGATTTATGACCAACTATTCTCGTTTCTCGTGGCGTCCGTCAAGGGTGCCTTCTGAGCCCTCTATTGTTTGTTCTATCAGTTGAATTGTTAGCCCTCAAAATACGCCAAGATCAACTCTGCAGGGGCATTCCCCTTCACAGTTCGATTTCACAGATTTCACAGTTCACGGATGATACAACGCTAATTCTTGAAGATACCATATCTCTTAGAAAGGCTATGAATATAGTTTGTTGTTTTGGAGCACTGTCTGGGTTGCAATTAAATAAAAAGAAAACTAAAGCCGCCTTTAGAATTCGAGTGCCCAAAAGAACCTATTAAATTTTTGGGTACCTTCCTCTCCCACGACGCAGTTAGCAATAATAAAAATAATTTCTTTATTAAAATAAGGAAAATGGAAACCAAGCTTAATATATGGTTGTCGCGTGATCTGACTCTCTTTGGAAGAACAATGCTTGCAAAATCTCTAGGTTTGTCTCAACTAGCTTACGCTGCTTCAATGCTTTCTGTCCCAGAAGCAGCGATTCAACAGACTCAAAGGAAACTATTTGCGTTTTTGTGGAAGAATAAGACCGATAAGGTAAACAGACAGGTTTTGTTCCGTCTCTTATCTAAGGGCGGTTTAAATTTTCCTTGTTTTCGGACTGTCATTAAAGCGCTACGCCTCTGTTGGATAGGGAGACTTTTAAGTAATCCACATGACACTTGGACAGCAATTCCCAACTTTCACTTTGAAAAACATGGTGGACTCTTGTTTCTACTTAATTGCAATTACAGTGTCGAAAAGTTAAATAAGAAAATTCCCTTATTTTATAGGGAACTACTTGAATTCTTTCAAGAATTGCGTAGCAACTGCGAAGATCCACTACAGCGCGAATTTATATTATGGAATAATAAAGATATCAACGTTGAAAACAAATCGGTGTTTTGGAAGTCTTGGCGTCATAAAAATGTCTTGTTTGTGCAAGATCTGCTGAACAATCAAGGTAATTATCTATCCCCACAAGAATTCAGTAATAAATATAACATCAAGGTTAATTTTCTGCAATACTACCAAATCATTACAGCCATTCCAGCGTCTCTCAAAAGGTACGCCTTCACTCATTTAGATCTTGCAAAACTGAACTCGATTTCTGAAAATGTCGACTTCCAGATATCTAAAGATGTTAGTTTAAACTTAAAGAAAACTTCGTGCAAGCAGTTTTACAAATTTTTTACAGAGAACATTAGTATTGAACCTACTGCGGTTACAACATGGCGAAAACATTGTACTGTGGTCGCTGACAAGTGGGAGCAATGCATTGAAAACAATTATAAATTCACTCGAGATAATAAGCTAAGACAATTTTATTTTAAATTGTTAGACAGAATACTAGTTACTAACAAGGAACTGACACGCTTTGGGATAACTGATTGTACTATGTGTGTTATGTGTGGCGAAAACGATTCTATAGGACATACTTTCTTTGAATGTCGTTCTTTTCTGAAATTATGTGACGAATCCCTTCAGTGGTTCAATATATCTCTCAAAACCAATATTAAACTCACGCCGCTTCAAGTTTTTCTCAATTTACCAACCCCAGCTTTCAATCTTTCCAATAAACAAACCAAGGATTTGTGTCTTCTTCTGTTATATGTAAAGCAGTACCACTATGGATGTAAATCATTGCAAAAGAAAACAGACACCTCTGAATTTATATCTAAATTTATTATGCAGCTTGAAATAGAAGTTTGACATGATAGTGCCACCCTCCTCTCAGCTTTATATGTATATTAATGTAATACATTAACCCTTATAATTTTTGTGAGAAGGCAATAACACTCTTCCTTAAATGAAAACGCATTTTTCATCTTATCAGATTCATAGGCATTGGAGCTTAACCTGCTCAAAAACTCTGCATTGTTGTGCATTGTAAAGAATTAGTAAAACTATCCTCCGCTCCTCTCCGATTCACATTTAACAAGAAGAAAACGAAAAGCTTCAAAAAAGTGAAACTTGCATACTTGAGGATGTCGATACGTTAACGAAAATTAATGTATAAGTAACAGTAAAAAGCCAAAGCATTATCTTGATGAATATTTGAAAACACACCGAACGAAAATTGCAGTCTTTTGACTGAGAAAAAGACCAAAAGTCGAAGGCAAAATGACCCTGAAAATCCTCCAAGAAAAGAAGGAGGAAAGGGAAAATAGAAAAAGCGAAGGGGAAAGAAAGTATAGGAGAAAAAAAAGGCAATGGTTGCCCTCCTAGTTTTAATGTTGACTTCTTTGGAGATTTTTTTCGAATGAAAAAGAATGTTTGAGGGGGGAGCTCTATTTTGGCTGTAAGGTTATTAAAAACAGTTCGAATATATATATTTTTCTTACCCTCGCGGCTAACAGAAATCTGGTAAAAAAAGCCTTACGACTAAATTTGTTGTAGTTTTACAGCCAACAGTTAACTCTATTACTCTGTTAGCCTCCTGTTATTTTGGGGTTCTTTGAGTGGAGCATGGTCTTCCTGTGCAAAAGCCATCCGCGTTTAATATTTATTTTGTTTGAAAAAAAAAGGAACTCTTCGTTTTTAATGTTTTTGTTACCGAAAACTAGGTAGCAGTTATTATTTCTTCTTCCACTTTTCCATAAAAGTAACAAACACATTTTGTGCATTTTTTGTTTGAAAGTATAATTTCAACTAACGTGGGTACCCTGTGTCAAAAGCTCAAAATGTTCAGCGCTTAATTTTGACATGTTCCACCGAACGGATTTTGGCGGATTTTAGTTTGTTGTTAGATAGGCCACCTTTACTTAAATGGCGTTGAAAACGATTAGTTCGATGTTTAGCCTCAAAAATGCCTAGATTGACTGTACTAATATGGACTTAATCCTCTCCTGCTAGATTAATTAACGTTGGATACCAGTCCATCAGATGCAACAATTCTCTGTTTTTCATGCCTTTTCGTTGGAGCAATTTTGACCATTTTCCATATAAAGAATGAAGCCCCTCGGGCCTCTTTCGCCGACACGGTATATTTTGTACCTCGGAGGAGCCAATTGAAACCTCCTGAGCTTAGTAATCCGCCATTATCATTACTGAATATAGTAAGTGTGCCATCCCATAAAGTGTAAGACGTAACATTCTCTTTGGCTGAAAAAGCATGGTAAACTCATTCGGGTGTTTCAGCCTGCTTTTCGGCGCAAAGCCTTGGGAAAATATGAAATGTACTCAAGGTCTTTTATCCTTCAAAGCAATACCTTTCGTATAATTTTGCTTAAGGAAATCTGAACATAATTGCCTGCAAGTATTTTAATAATTAGATTATTTAAGACCATCAAGGCCGGGGGTGGGGGGTAGGGGGCAGGGCCACGGCTCTTATACTTAACCCTAACCCGTTCCTCACGTACCTCCTGTTCCTCCCGTACCTCCCGGCTCCCATACCTGCTGTTTCCTCGCGTAAGTCCCGGCTCTCGTACCTTGGACCTCCCAGCGCCCATACCATTCATTTCCGGCTCTCGCCTCCTAGTTTCCTTGCTTCCTTTCTTTAGTAGCTAGTGCTTTTTAGATTGCAAAATATTACGTGTAACTGCGTAGTTTCGCTCTATTTCTTAAGATCTCCTATTCCCGGCTGTTTTCTCGACTATTTGGAGCAACTTTTGATGGGGGAAACTTGATTAAAGTTTTAGTAACTTATGGGAGTTTCAAAGTCTTCTAATACTGTGTAAGCCTATTCTTGTGGAGTCAACCCTGCTCCCCCCACCAGATGGATTATCCTTGGTAAGGAGCCCATGCCGCCGCCTGGTCTGGGGTCAATGGTTTCCAAATAAGGCCATGTTTTCAAAAATTTCAACTCCGACTTCTCTTCCTCCAATGAAACGACTCTATCAGAACAGGAGAATGCACTTGCACAATGAAAATCAAAGAAAAGAAAGATCTTAATTCAGTGATCTGAGAGAGTTTTCGTCTCACAACGTTCAGTGTGATTATTCTGTTTACACAAATAACACTGAATGATTTCGGGTCTGCTCAAAAGGCGTAATGGTGAATATACAATTTTTCTAGAATAACAAGAGAGAGACCTTGTTATAGGGAAGGCTTAAATTGTTCAGTTTGCCTCTGACTTGAGTAAAAAGATATAGTAATCTAATTCGGTAGGGAAAAAAAATTACGTTGCACAGTTGCTGTGCATTTAAACGCCACCCACCGTAGATGCGTTAAATAAAAAAAGCAAAGAAAACCCTGACTAGTTTTTAAATTACGTTTATTAACCTCGTGCAATTGCTCTTTCCCAAAACTAGTCTCTCTTGTCGTACAGAGATCGTTCTATTTAACGTACATTATTTGATAATTAACTATTAATGTAAATTGTAAAGACTTATAAATCATCACGATTTCGAAATGATAGGAAAACGTTACATCCCAACCGATAATACGACCATAAGTCACCTTATGTCAAAAAAGATAAAAGTATTTGAGTTCTGATGATCTGTGTCAAGGGTTAGCATAATTCTTAACAGCCTGAAAACCGGAGAGATCTATTTGGTTAGCCAAAACGACCCTCCAACCAACATTTTGCTCAAAGTTAGAAGCAAATGTTATCGTTTGCTTAGGGGAGGGTATTATCATCGTAGATCAAATATAGAGAAATTAAGATTTTTCACTTTTGCTTTGACTAATATGGAAATTATTGCATATGTTTCATACTGAAACAAGCCAACGTTTCCATATAGAGACACTGCGTTATTTTCTCATCATTATTTCTTTCTTGTAAATAACTTCCCAAAATCAAAGCTATTACATTCTTGGTTTCTATTGTAAGACCAACCAGCAATTCAAAAGGTCAGAAAATTATAGGTTCGTTTTTTTTTCGAAAAGTTAATCAGTCGTGTGTGGCACCAGAGATATGTTTTTTGAGCTCTTTCGTTCTGAGATAGGACACCGTTTGCGTCGCAATTGGGTCTGGATTTTAGAAGGAGTAACTTTTCCCATTTATTCATCTCTTGAGCTGGACCATGATTAATTTATATCCTCTCTTAGTTGTGGAAGCCCATTCGCATTCCAACTCTCGAATCCATTTAATGCTAGGAAAAAGATAATTCGTTCTGATTATCGAGAGCTTGGAAAAATAAGGATAAAATTACAGATTTAAAAGGGAAGGGAACTCTCCAGAATTAACGCCAGGTTCAAGGAATCATTTGTTCGAGGGGTTGGAGAATTCTACTGTACACTCAGAGTCTTATACTGAAAATACAACAGTATAATAAGTAATGACTTAATAGATTAATACATGTGATGTAGTTCTACCGCATTTCCCTCCCCCACAGATTTTCGGGGACTACTCCCGTCCGAAATATGACATCCGTCGTGGAGTAATGCTCTCTCTTCATGCTGGTATTCTCCCTTATCTTAGGATTCTATTTTTTTTTTGCCACAATCTATCAATCGTCGAAACTAGAAGTGGTGGTTGCAAATCAATGGGAGAGGATGTTGCTGCCTCGTTAGGTATGTAGATTGGTATCCTCAAATCTTTCTTTAGAGTGGAAGTGCACTTCTCGACACTTAGCTACTATACTTAAACGAGCAAACCTCACAAATTACAAACATATCACAGTTACTGTTTACGGTTTAGTATTTTTTATGCCTGATCGGCTTCTAAACTTCAGCGAATCGCTGTAAGCATCGGTTTCGTACAAAAATGCCTTCGGAACCGTTGCACTCTCACCTTCCCAAAAGCAAATGAAAACTTTGCACCTGACGCTGACCGTTACGCCGCCGTGTAGAGTATTCTAAGAACTAATCTTCAAGAACACAACTCCGCTACCATAATTCGCATTCCTTTTTGTTGGCGCATGCTCTGCACGGCCAAATCTTTCGGCCATCAGCACAGAATCTTTAAAGACCTAATGATTCCATACTTGAAGCCTTGAACAGACGAATTAACTCCTACGTTGCGAAACTTTTCCCATCGAGAATTATCTGAGGATATGACATATGCGATTATTGGACGGTATTTTCTTACCCTGATGATGCCATGTACAGTCGAATACGTTCGGATTTTTATTTTTTAAATATATAAGTTTTAGCCTTGTAAACAGTTCAGTTTTTAAACCTAAGCGGATTTTATGGACAAAATAACATTCCAGTAATATTTCTGGATTTCACGGTTTTGTGAGTTTTAAAATAAAACCTTGATCCACGCCCAGATTGGTATTGTGCTTCACATTAGAGTTCATTTCCAATTTTCTGTCGAGCACGGCCCCTCCCCCTCCCCTCCCTTTCAGCTTTTGGAGTCCATGGAAGGAAAAGGAAAAGTCATTTTTTTGTTTTGTAAGCTTTTTGACTTAATGACCGCTCATTTGGCTTCTTAGTGAACTATATTTTATTACAAACGTTAATTCCATTTGGCCTCTGTTTACTCTGGCACATCCTTGTGGTTTTACTAGCAAGCCTTTTATAGATACATGTCATTTTAGTGCAAGACCCTCTTACGTTAATTTTTTTTCTTTCAATTAAAGGGCTGTCCTGGGATTACTTCTTTTAATTGAGGAGGGAAAAAACGCTGAATTTTAGCATTCTAGTAATTCATGTTCATCTAATGGATCAAGTAAACTGAGATAGCGCTATCGTGAAAATGGCGGGATATGCAGAGACAAACACACAGTCACGTAGACTCTCTTGTTGGTACTTGAATTACCATGACAACAGGGGTTGATCTTTAAGTAAACACATCATCTGTTCTGTTTGATAGGATTTTGACCATTCATATTGGAGAAATGGTGTGACGTGATATCCTTTAAAACAAAGCAACATTGCGGCTGTGGAAACAGGTTTCACTTTTGCTTTTAGTTTGACTGGTTGCACTGAGCTACGTCGCTGAACACAGGATCAAGACTGCCAAGGTATATTTACTTATTCTAAACCAAGGAGGGTTTCGTTTTAGTTAATGGCCTCCTTGTTTAACATCAGGAAATTATAGCTTACTGGGAAGCCATTCTCTCAAGAAAGTTTAGGGAAAAAGTACAAAATAATACGGACATCTGAGTTTCTGTGTGGGTACCCAAGGACGTCGATTTCGTGGCGCGTTTTCCATCGAATCGTTGGTTTTTCAGGCCACATCGTCTCATATCTATAATTGCATGCTTTGCGTGGTGTAACGCTACTAGCGAGCCCCGTCTGTGCGACCACAACGAAGATGGAAACGAGAAAATAAGCGAAAAAAAACTCTGAACGTGCAGCACACTTTTTGCGAGTTTCGTTGCCGTCGTTGCTCAACAAACGATGTCAAACATAATTGAAATGGCAATGCGATCATCGCTTTAATCTCTAAGATGGTCGCTTCATCAATGGTGATCGTCGCGTCTTCGGTATCGTCGGAAATACCCATACAGAGGCTCATATTTACAGTTTTCTAGCGATTTTTGCTTTTGTCTTTGTGTTAGTGCAATGCAAATACTTCCTATTGTATGTTGCAAAGATTACTTGCATGTGGTAATAACAATCAAAGTAACGAATTTTAGTCATTAAAGTTTTACGACGAACACTTGCGCATTATCATGACAAAGAGTGACACCAGGTTACGTTCGATTACGTGCACTGTTTCTGCTCCCTAGAAACTGAAATTTGAATTGCGTGTTCAAATAACATAAGTACTTAAGCTGATTTAAAATTCTTTTTTGCACTCACTGGGCTTCGTATTACGCATGTGCACAGCAATATCCCTTTTGAAGAATTAGTCACCAAGGGTTAAAAGTTAATCTTATTATTTCAACTTTGTTTTGTTCAAGTTAAGTAAATATTTTCGGACCACAAAACTGATGGGTGATTGCGATGAACACTAAGCAACAACGACTGATGTTTGTGGAGGTGGGGTGGGGGTCACTAGGTGGGGTAGTCGCACCAGGCTAAAGTGTATCATCCTCTTTTCGACAGGCAGCTGAGGAGCTTTTGACAGATCTGGTCACGTGAGCTGGTCGAGCTGATCATCATGCTAAGTTTATTAATGTTACTGCTGGCCATTATGACTGCTGTGACGGCAACCGGCGGCAACAAACAGTCCGCACAAACCACGGTAAGCTCGTATAGAAAACTTTTTATAAAATTTTTCAGGGGCGTAACGTGAGATTTTGTAGGTGTACGCACGTGGGGAAGGAAAGTTGTAGTGCCGAAGGCGGCCCACCGTAGGGAGGTCTGGGGGCATATGCTACTCCAGAAATTTTTAAATTTAAAGTCTCAGAAATGCCACTTTCAGCGTTTTCTGCAGGATATTCTCAGTAGATTTATCCTTAGGAAAAGCAATTAGTTGTACATGTGTATTTTCCTAACTCTAGTGTTGTCGGTAAGGTACAGTGTTTACGGGAGAAAAAGGCCAGTGACGTCATCAGAATTATGGAAAAATAAAAGAATAAAGGACATACTGACACAAGGATTCGGTTGTGGCGAAAAATGTATCATTCATTCCGATTTTATAATAAAAAAATGCTTTTTCAGGAAATAAAAATATATTTTTATTATACCAAGTCATTTCACATGAGATAATTTTCCTCCTGAGCGCCACCAAGAGTTGTACGTGGCGGCGTACTCGCCTAAAGGGGCGAGCACATGGTAAAGCACGGTTAAAAACTATGACACCTGGAACGCCCTAGATTCTGATTGGTTAGAATCCAGATACGCTCCATACCTGCCGTCTGAACCTGAGGAAGTAAGTGCCTTGTCATAAAATCCCATTATGACGTCATAATGGTGTCTTTTTTTTCATATTTTAGCTGTACATGTACGCACGGCGTATGTGAGTATATGGACGCGAAGACGCTACGCCCCTGACATATGACAATAAGGAGCTAAAGCAACGATGAAGGCGACGTCAACGAGAACGCTTTTTTGTACATTTCTTCCGGTCGTCACTGCACGACTACGACGTGAAAATACCTAATTTCAAATTTTGTGGAGGACTTGAACACAAGACAAGGACTTTCTCTTTCTTTTCCTGACCTTTCATGCAGAGTTTTAGAATTAAAGTCCAGAAATAGTTGCCAACATTTGACGAAACAAACTAGATGAAATAAACGCGATAAAGTTTAACGCATCGCGACTTCACTTCTTAAGTGACGTTCTCGTAGCCGTCGCCTTCGCTGTTGCTTAAGCTCCCTAATAAAGCTATGAGAGGTGAAGATAACACCTATTTAACCTGGAGTAGTCAATTGATAAAAATCGGTATCGATTTTTCAATCGATAAATCAATAAAAATCGGTAAATCTGATTTAATTGATATCAATCGGTAGAAATCGATGACACGCTCGTTTCCTTTATCGATTTATCTTGATTTTTACCGATTTGATCGATTCATATCGGAAGAAACATCTGTTCATCAGTTCATTGAAAAATAAAGCCTGAATTCACGCAAATAGTAAATTTATTGACAATTAAATGGCAGTTAAAAGACAAAGGATCAAACATTTATCACTATGATATTGTTGATCAAACATTATCACTTACAAAGAAATCTTTTCTTTAAAACCAGGCTTAAAATCTTCTTCTGATGGCTGGTATTGGCCAAGTTTGTAGGCGTCCAGTTTTTCAGATCTACCACCCCTTAAAAATAACGTCGGTGAAGAGATCCGGGTGCAGTTACATCCTGGAGGACCCGTAGGACCCTGAGTAGTCAATGGATAAAAATCGAAATCGATGAAAGTCGTTAAGAATCAAGTGATTTTTATCGATTGATATCGGAAAACGGTGAAAATATTTGGAAAAAAATCTTTTAGCCTGAATCTCGAATTGAAGGAATGTCTGACAGTTTGGCGTTTTTGTTTTAAAGGGTTTTGGAGAGAAACTTGTGTGTAATAGTTTCCACATTTCTCATTTTCATGTTTGCTGATCAGTTGGGTAACTCGTGGATGCGTTTTCTTAGCTGTACTATCTGACTCATGCCAAAAAAAAAACAATGGCGGACTTCCGTTATAAATCGTCAAAGCCGTGAATAATCGATAATATCAATCTTACACAGGAATTCAGTTCATCGATTTTCAATGATTTCCGTTATCAATTGATAAAATCACTTGATTGCTGCCGATTTTTATCGATTGACTACTCCCGGTATTTAAGAAGCAGCCAGGAAAAGCAAATACATGAAAATAAAAAATTTTCCACCTTTGCTGAATCTGAGCCCTTAGGAAATTCAAAGTTTCAGTTGAACATGAGCTCGTTGGACAAACATTTTTTTGGAGATAAGGTAAGCTATTAATAGCTGTTTCTACTAAAAGTACACATACCGGCCTTTCTGCCTTTCAGCTTTTTGCGAACTAAAGCTGAATACAATCAGGATCAATCAGTCGCAGGATAAGATATATTTTTAATATTTTTTTATATTTTCTTTTTTGAAACTAGCAATCTCCATCGTTTTTTTATGGTGGTTGTGGCATTCCCGGCATTCCCGGCAAGCATGGTACTCCTGGGGTACCAGGCCGCGACGGACGTGACGGACGTGATGGCCGTGAGGGAGCTAAAGGTGATCAAGGATTGCAGGGGAAGACTGGACCTCAGGGACCTCCTGGTGATAAGGGACCTGCTGGTGTAAAGGGAGAGGAAGGGGCTAAAGGAGAACCTGGAGCCCAGGGTTCCAGGGGTCAGAAAGGGGAGCCTGGCCCGATGCTGTTTAAGAACTGGAAAGAATGTGCCTGGAAAAACTTGAATGATGGAAAGGACAGTGGTCTGATCAAGGTGAGTCGTGCATTTGCGATTGATAGGCATACAATTATCAAATTTACACACAACATACAGGACAAGGCCTTTTGGTTGCCTAGTGCAAATACCAACAAACAGCTATTGGCTTCTGGCATGCTCTCTCATAAGAGAACAACCTCTATATAGGGGCCTAGCTATACACGTAGGTTTGTATAAATTCTGTCGGCAGAATTTCGAGGGGATAAGGTACTCTTTCCTTCAATGTCAATGGTTGGTTATTATCATAACTTGAAAAAAAACTTTAATAGTAATTGCAAAACAAGATTAATATAGGAATAAGAAAATACCATTTCAACTAATCCGAGCAAAATCAGGCGATGAATTCCTGCGTGGCAAAATATGTTTTAAAAGGAGGGGAGCGGGATTCCGGGCGCGCGACAGGCGCGAAAGTCAGTCCCTCGCGTGCAGTCTCGCTCCCAAATTCCCTTCCCCTTCTCTTACGAACGCCTGTCACCCATGCTGTGCTATGAGATACAATTTCGCCATGCTTCAATGAGAGCTATGTATGTCCTTGTTTCCTGTCAAATTTTTAAAATTCAAAATGCCCGAAGGCCTGAAATTTATTTCCCGGTATCCAGTACAATTTAGCTACTTACTTATGTGGGGCATAAAAACTGCAAAGATCCAACGCTGTCCGGGCCTAATTGCTCGCCTCTACCAATTCCTTATTTAAGGTTCTTCTTCAGGTCGTATTTCGGTCTGCACGGTTGTTTTTCTCCAGTTTGTTGCCCCCCTCCCCCGTTTGGGGTTGGGTGTAGGGTTAACTAATCCAGTTTTAGCAATTGCATCTTATTTTACGGTGTATGGCGACAATGAGAATTTAGGTGTCTGAGCAGAATTAGCAAAGTGAAGCAATTTTTGCGAGCACTGCCAACAGGCAGAATAAACTATTTAACTTTCAAGCAGATTTTATACTTAGCCTAGCCAAAATTGTCAGTAAGTCACTTCGGAAACTTTACTAAGTGGCCTCCTGTCCATTGTTCGAAGAGGGTTGCTTATTAGTTGTACCGTATATAGCTGTTCAGCAACTGCGGCGGACTGGCTCTGCAAAAAAAAGAGGTACTTTGGGCTTACACGTTAAAAGCCAGTGTCTTACCAAGGAGCAGTTAGTCATAGCCTGTTCAGTCTAGGCGTTCAGATAGTGGAGTGAGGCGCGAAGTAAGAGAGCGGGAAAGATATGCAGAGAGAGAGGGATTCTCTCCTTCTCTCTCATCCCCTACCCCACCCCCTCGCTGTTTTTCATGCCCACTTCTCTCGCGCGGCAGTCCCCTCCATCTAAACGCCTGGAACAGGTTATATTGCAAGTAACTCTAGGGCTGTGATATTAACAAGTTCAAGCGACTGGGTGAGGCCAATTATTTTTGCAATCTTCAATCTAGCGAAAAACTACGCCTATAAAGTTTTTAAGAATGTCACGATTTTCGTCAGTGTTTCGGGTAAAGCTATGGGGTTTCGGCATAACAGAAGCGTGCTTGTGGGTGTGATTACTGAACAGCTCTGAACAAATGTCTTGACCTTCTTGAGTATGATTTCTTGCTTTGGTTAACGTGTAAAGGTTTCTCTGGCCTGTATCTCATGGTAAGACTCTCAGCCTAGTCTCTGCTACTAACAAGGACGTTTCATCTCTCAGTTGACTCTGAAGACTTATGCGCCGATCAATTCGAAACTTTAACATCCCAAAGCAACCCCCTTGGCATTTGAACTTTTTAAGGCATGCCTGGTCAGATTCTTCTTTTGTCCTCAGCAGAGGCTTCCGCTGGGTATCCCATTGTCCCACGCGCGCTTCCTTTTTCTCTCTCCCCAGGTTCCCTACGATACAAAGAGGCCTTTGCGGATGAGAGAGAAGTTCTCCTTACAAATTACCCCATGGTAGTGGTCAAATGCTTCTCCCGAAGAGGAAATGTTTTGCAAATATATGGTGTGTGGATTAGCGAAAAGTAAATGTTTCGGACGTCTTAAAGTAAGTCGGGCTTATATCTCCAGTGATAATATACTTTGTATTAAAAAAGGGAGGGAAATTGGGGGTCATGGTAACAAAATTGGATACATGTAGCTTTTGAAGTCCTTGCCGAACAAGCCATTCGTTTACAAAAGATGTGTCTTAAACTTTAAAGTCTTCCATTTAATCATGAGAAAGATCGCATCTATCGAACTACGTTGTCAGACACCGGATCTTAAAAAGAATTTAACTTGAGGCTTGCGGTTCAAATTCACCATCCCCGGGCACAAGTGATGGTCAAATGCCCGGGGTTTGCCGGGGAATTTTAAGGTGTCGAATTGGTCGGCACATACGATTTCCAGCAACCGATACGCGTGACATCTGGAATGTCAAAGATCTAGCTTAAAACGGTCTCTAACGCTGGATGAAGGGTTTGGAGTGGTGGAGAGGAGGACAAGCCATTGAGGGGGTCACCGTTTCTACGGGCTGCGTTGACGGGGCCAATTTTAAAACCTAAGGGTGCTTGATCATACACCGTATTCACAAATGGCGGACACGCGGGAAAAAACTGGTGCCTAGTCATGAAAGCGAGGCGTTGGAGGATAAACAAAAATTACAAATGAAGACTCTCAGTGAAACTTGCAGAGTGTTTAGCACGGATTCCACTTAAAATAACTTTGTACGGACTTCTTTTCAAATACAATTACGTGGGATGTCTTCTGCTTTTAATGTCAAGTAATGATTTGCTGTTTGCAATCAAAAGGGACGCGTATATCTTCAAGGAAACAGGATGATTTTGTAGGTTTCCTGAGCATCAGAAGCTCGCCAAGTGGAGATGGCTGGAGAAAAGCGGCAAACATGTTGGCCCAAACTTCACATTGAAACCGAGTACGAAAGCCAGCTAACTGCAATTCGGTGAAACAGAAATATAAACAAATCTTGGTGACAAGAAAAAAAGAAATAAGCGACAGATATATGGCCTACTTGTTAACGCAAGAGACGTCTGCCGTTGAACAAAACAGTTCAAGTCGAGATGGAGAAAAGGAAGACAGGAAAGAACAGGTGACTGAGGTTTCGAAGAAGTTATGTTTGGTTTTTGTTTGCCAGGACGTTATTCTCTGGTCTTTATCGATGAAGGACATCAGTTAGAACTATTTTTTTAGTATGAATGCAGGAGCGATCGAGTGGAGTACGCTCAAAATTTCAACTTGTTACTCAGCAGACTCGGTAAGCCGGACACATATCATTTCAGCGAGTAATTTCGTATTTCTTATCTTTGGCTGTTAAGAGTTTTAACTTTATGTTCCATAATATTTTAAAGTTGAAGAATACATAAATAAATAAAGTGATGGTCTTCTTAAACGGATCCAGACTCGAATTTAATTATTCGAAACAGAAGCTTGCCGTGTTCAGTCATGACACAAACATTGCCTTAAAAGTTTAACCTAGTAAAATGTAAGCTTTATACCACTTTTTTACCAAAAGCTCTCTGAGATAATGCCCAAAAGGAGACCAGGCAAATAGCAAGCCATAAGATTCACACACTACAGCTTCTAATTTTTGATAAAATTATTTTTAATTATTTCGCAATGACAAAGAAATCATGAGGTTTTTGCTAAGCTCTGTACCTCGAACAATTCGCTCCAAAGTGACGGAATTAATATGAATTAATACGGTGTATGGTAGATCTATTCCTAGCCAGCAAAATCTTGTATAGCCAATTAAGAAATGCATAACGCAAACCTGACTACAGCGCTATTGGATTACATTAGTCCCTTTTTCCAAAAAAGGATAAATTCAACCTCCCGGCTTTGGAGTCAGCCTTGCCTCTTCATTTATCAACTGATTTATTTGTCTATCCACAACGACCACAACTACTAGGCAGTTGCTATTAGATCTAAGCTAGATCTAGATTTTGGATGTCATGGAACATGGAACAACGTGTTGCCGAACCTCTTCGTTAACAGATTTTCTGTCAAATTTTTTGCAGGACTGTGTTTTCACCAAAAACTTTACTGATACTGCCCTTCATGTTTACTGGACGGGTGCACTAAGGATTGCCAGCTGCAATAGCTGCTGCAAACGTTGGTACTTCACTTTCAATGGCGCAGAGTGTTCTGCTCCTCTGCCCATTGACGGAGTTGTCTACATGGCGACGGGCGGTAATAAAAATCTCCATCGCGTCCGCCATATTGAGGGCCACTGTAATAACATCCATAAAGGAAAGGTGCGCGTGGGATTCTGGATCGGCAACTGCGCTTCATATGGAAACGCTGATGGCTACACAGGATGGAAGTCAGTGTCCCGTATATTTGTTGAAGAAGTTCCTAAAGCTCAAGCTTAAAAGTGACTTTAGATTAAAGTGACTCATGAGATCATGAGTTATTATGAGTTCTTATACTACAGAAAGTAAAAATGGATAAAAGACTTTGAAAGAGAGTGAGTGATTTCGACCCCTACGTGGTTGGGTAGTCTGTTGATATTTTTATAATAGTTTTAGACAGTAGTGCTTCAGATTGTTAAAAACTATAACCCAAAAGTCCGGGATTTCAGCACGATCTATTAACATATGATTAAGACGTTTATTAAAGTGTATAACTAAAAAGGACCGTTTGCTGTTTGAGCTTATTTAATTATTTCTTATTCAAAGCAATTCTTCTTAAGTTTTGAAATAGAGAGGTTTTTAACTGACCTGAAAGTATATGATCAAACCTCAGCATTTCTCGCCAGTAGACTAAAGGCAGAGAATTGACTTAGGTTGCTTTCGAAGTTTGAGGCAACTCTTATAAGTTTAGTAATCGCGGAGGGAACATTTTATTATGTTTACTCTTGTGATAGCTAAGGACAGCTAATTGTATGGCTGAGAGTTTTGGTTAAAAGCTCCCCTTTTCAGTACCATTTGGCAACTGAAAAGTGCTCGCTAATAAGTCGTCGTTTTTTTTTTTCGCTCCAACCCTCACGCCAAGCTCCTGTTCTCATTTTTCTTACACAGCCAGCTCTTTGATCCATTCACTAGATAACCATACTTCTTTCCCTCCTGACTCAGGTGATTGTACCAGTTCTACAACGGCGCAATTTGTCCACCCCCCGCAGAGTCGTCGGCTAGTCATACTTGTTTAACACCTGGTGTGATTGTCCTTAAGCTCAGGATCATGATAGATGTATTGACCAATAATAACAACAACAATAATAATAATAATAATAATAATAATAATAACAATAATAATAATAATAATAATGATAATCAATAATAATTAAAGAAGTGAACAGAACAGTAATCCTCCTATCAATTATTTATTTTTGAAGTAAATTAGCCCTTGTTCAGACGTCATAGTTCACATGAGTCGGATCAATTCCAAAAAAAGGGCCTGTTTACACAAAGGTGGGGGACCCCAGGTAGGTGAGGTAATTCGCATAGGTGGGGTAACCTGCCTGTCCATATAATCTCTCATTTTCATTTGGTCACGTTTGCTTAATAGGTGGGGTGACCGTAGGAGAGATTAAATGGACATGCGGCTTATCCCACCTAAGCGGGGTACCTCACCTACCTGCAATCCTCGTCAGATTTAGCTGGGACACCCCTTGCTGTACCCATATTTCAGACAAAAAGTTGTGCTCCTTCCCCGCCCCCCGTGTTGATTTTTTTGCTTCTGACACGCAACAACAACAACAACAACAACAACAACAACAACGTACAAAAGCTTTATTTTCATGACCATAAAGGTATTATAGTATTGCCAAAGGTGCTAGTCGAAATTTAATTACTAATTCAACTAATTATTGTAAAAATAACAAAACATTACAGTTCTCATTCATTCGTTGATATTAATTTATGTTTTAATTCAAAGCATTGCGAGATAAATAAAACTAATTAATTGAAAGTTAATTAAATAATCAGAAGAATTCATGAAATGAGATATTTTAGTTTCTCTTTTGGAGAAAGATACGTCTCTAATCTGAGAATAGGCCTTACAATCTAGTAAGAAATGATTTTCATCCTCAGTTTTGTAACCGTTACAAAAGGAACATATACTTTCATTGCGAGGGATCTTTTTTTGTATCTACCCGTTTCAATTCTAAGTTGATGACTACTTATTCTAATTTTAAGAAGAGCTTTTCTTGACGCGGGGTTTTTTCTTGTTAAAACTAGGTACGGCGAGGGGCTACAGTCCTTTCTGATTGTACAATAAACTGAAACTGAGTTTTTGTGATTGTTGAGGGGTCTGGTTCCAGTAAGAAACGTGTTTATTTTTCATTACGCCGACAAACACCTTTTAACTTTAGAGTCATTCAATGAATTATACAAGAAAAGTCACAGGTTAGTTCGTAGTAGTCAACCATCTTCATGAGATTAAAGCAAAGGCTATTTTCGCCCCTATAATAAGGGTCAACTGAAATTTGTAAGGCTTGTTTAACTATAGAATCTTCATCTTTATCTTTCAAGTAACTGAAGTAATTTTGAATCTTTTTATTTATATCAGTGATCTTCGGGAATTTACCGAGTTCAGCTCTACATGCCATGTTGGAAGCCTTGCCAGTGAGTACATGTAAATCAGAGTGTTTACAGAGTTGTAAATGGGTTTTCTTGCAGAACTGTCCCAGGACTTAAAATCTGATTTGACAAAAGCACCCTAAACTTCGCCTTTGTAGGTTAAAATTGGTGAAATCATTGAGTCCAAAATTTTACATGCAAGTGAGGGCTTAAGGCCGTTCAGATCTGTGTGCCGTCTTAAGCTGCAGAACGCGGCACGATAATATATTAAAAAGTACTTCAGTCGTTTGGCGGCCTCCAGAGGAGATTGTTTCCCATATGCCATAACCATCAATTAGCTTTGGATATTCTCAGTCAACACTGCCTCCTAACAGCAAAAAAGGTCTTAGCTTTTATTAAAGGATCCGTCAGGGAAAATGAAAAAGTCATTTGGTGACAGATCCTTCAGTGTGGCTGCGCCCACTTTATGGAACGCTCTTCCTGTTAGCCTCCGCAGCATGTATTTCAACTTTTAAATCTAATCTTAAAACTTATCTTTTTAAATTAGCTTTTAATATCTCTTAGATATTAAATATATTTGTATACTTCTAATATTTGTATGGTTTTTAGGTTATTTATTAATGTAATGCGCTTTTAATCATCTAGCATGTTAAAAAGCGCGGAAGGGTCAATTGAAACCCCCTGACCTTGGTAACCCGCAAGAGGGGTCTGAGATCAATGATTTCGCAAAGGCGTAACGTAAACAATCATCTATCTAGCGCGAGCCCTCTAAATTGTGGCGTACTCAAGGTTCAATAATTGGTCCTCTTCTATATAAATGATCTACCAAATTGTTTGAATGTGGGCTCTCCTAGAATGTATGCCGACGGCACTAATGTTACCTTTTCTGCAGCTACTATACCTGATCTCGAGACCCAAATCAATGGTGAACTGAAATATATTGATCGCTGGCTCAAAGCTAATAAGTTAAGTCTCAATGTCGCCAAAACAGAGTTTATGGTTATTAGCTCGAGGCACAAACTACAGTCCTTAAATGACTACACCATGAATATTCATATAGACGGCGTCCCAATAAAACAAAGCAATCAAAGCAAATCTCTCCGGCTTATCATTGATGAAAATCTCTCGTGGAAGGCCCACATTCATGAAATCTCTAGAAAAGTGTCCTCTGGTATAGGTGCTCTTAAGCGGGTCAGGCCATTTGTTTCAATGCACTCTGCAATTAAAATATACAAAGGTCGTATCGAGCCACACTTTGATTATTGCAGCGCTGTATGGGATGGCTTGACCCAACAGCTTAGTGAGAAACTTCGGGAACTTCAAAATCATGCTATCAGAGTTATCACCAAATCTAGCTATGATACTAGTTCCAGATTTCTTCTTAACTCGCTTGGTTGGGACAATTTATCGGTTAGAAGGGCTAAACAATTTAAGGCTAATTTAATGTACAAGTGCATTAATAATCTCGGCCCAGCTTATCTCTGTAATTTGTTTGCCCCAAGAACACCGAATTACTATTTTCGCAACGCGAAGAAAAAATTTAAGCTCCCAAAACCAAGAACTGATTACCTGAAGCCTAGCTTCAGTTACAGTGGCGCTCTTCTATGGAACAATCTTCCTGAGGAAATACGTACATCAAATTCCTTAGGTTTCTTTAAGAGAAGTTCCATAGATGGTTTTCTGATCAGTACTCCCACACGGCAAATATGTAAAACAGTTTTTGAGAATTTTTAATTAATTTTCTGTTAGACTAATGTTTTTAAGCGTGTTTAAATTCTAACTCCGACTTCTCTGCCTCGAATGAAACGACCCTATCAGAACAGGAGAATGCACGTGCGCAATGAAAACTAAAGAGAAAAACGATCTTCACTGATCTGAGAGGGTTTTCGTCTCACAACGTTCAGTGTGATCGTTCTGTTTACGCAAATGACACTGAAAGATGTAGGGTTTGCTTAAAAGGCGTAACGGTGAATATACAGTTTTTGTAGAATAACAAGAGAAAGACATTATTGTTATAGGGAAGGCTTAAATTGTTCAGTTTGCCTCTGACTTTTGTAAAAAGATATAGTGATCTAATACCGTAGGAAAAAAAAATAACATTTCACAGTTGCTGTGCATTTAAACCTCACCCATCGTGGATGCGTTAAATAAAAAAAGCAAAGAAAACCACGAGTAGTTTTTAAATTGCGTTTATTAACCTTATGCAGTTGCTCTTCCCCAAAACTATTCTCTTGGGTCGTATAGAGATCGTTCTATTTAACGAATATTATTTGATAATGAACTATTAATGTAAATGGCAAAAACTTATAATTCATCATGATTTCGAAATTGATAGGAAAACGTTACATCTCAACAAATAATCCGACCATAAGTCACCTTCTGTTCTGATGATCGGTTTCAAGGGTTAGCATAATTTTTAACAGCCTAAAAACAGAAGAGGTCTATTTGCTTAGCCAAAACCAGCAAAACCAGCATTTTGCTCAAAATTAGAAGCAAATGTTATCTTTTGGTTGGGGGGGGGGTTGGGGATTATCTTCGTAGAAGATACCTCACTGACTAATAAGGAAAATATTTGCATATGTTTCATAGAAACAAGCCAGTGTTTCCATAAAGAGCGGTGTTATTTTCTCATTTTTCTTTCTTTCTTGTAAATAACTTCTCAAAATCTAAGTTAATACATTCTTGGTTTCTAAAGTAAACCAACCAGCAATTACAAAAGTCAGAAAATTATAGGCTGTTTTATTTGAAAAGTTAATCAGGCGTGTGCCTTGGCACTAGAGATATGTTTTTTGGGCTCTTTCGTTCTGAGATAGGACACAGTTTGCGTCGCAGTTGTCTCTGGATTTTAGAAGGAGTAACTTTTCCCATTTATTCATCTTTTGACCTGTACCTTGATTAATTTATAGCCTCTCTTGAGTTTTGAACGCCATTAGCATTTCAGCTCTCAAATCTTTTAATTTTAGGGAAAAGTGCGATTCGTTCTGATTTTCGAGGGCTTGGAAACATATGGAGAAGATTACAGATTTAAAAGGGAAGGGAACTCTCCAGGTTCAAGGAATCATTTGTTCGAGGGGTTGGACAATTCTACTGTACACTCAGAGTTTTATACTGAAGACACAACAGCATAATAAGTAATGACTTAATACATGTGATGTAGTTCTACTGCATTTCCCTCTCCCACAGATTTTCGGGGGCTGCTCCCTGTCCGAAATACGACACCCGTCGTAGAATAATGCTCTCTCTTTATGCTGGTGTTCTCCCTTATCTTAGGATTCTAGGTTTCTTTTTTACCACATTCTATCAATCATCGAAACTCTATGTGGTGGTTGCAAATCAGTGGGAGAGGATGTTGTTGCCTCGTTAGGTATGTAGATTGGTATCCTCAAATCTTTCTTTGGAGTGGCAGTGCGCTTATCGACATTTAGTTACTCTACCTAAACGAGCAAACCAAAAAATTAGGCCTGATTCAGACGCCGATCTTTTCATGAGCCGAACCTAATTCGAATTAAGGCCGACCCAAATTATTTAGACCAGCTGAACTGATTCAGACGCCGGTCTTAATTGCAGCTAAACTAAGTTCAAAAGGTGAAAAATGCTCATTTCGGTCAAACTGCTTACAAAATACGTTATAATAATTTATGCATTAGGTTCGGTACATGAAAAGCTCCGTGTCTAAATCAAAGCCGCTCCAAAGTCGCTTCAAAGGCGAAATTCTCGGCCAGGCTAGGCGAAAAGAACGGCTGAGCCGTTCCAAATTGAAACAGGCGTTCCTAATTGATTCAGACGCCGAACTTTTCTTGTACTTAATTCAATGTATTAGGTTCGGCTCATGAAAAGTTCGGCGCCTGAACCGGGCCTTACAAACACATCACAGTTGCTGTTTAAGTCTTTTTTATGCCTGGTCGGCTTCTAAATTTCAGCGAACCGCCGTAAACACCGGTTTCGTACAGAAATGCCTTTGGAACCTTTGCACTCTCATCTTCGCAAAAGTAAATGGGAATTTTGCATCTGACGCTCACCGTTATGCCGCAGTGAAGAGTATTCTAAGAGCTAATCTTCAAGAACACAACCTAAAACGAAGGCCTAATGATTCCATAATTGAAGCCTAACTTGAACAGACAAATTAACTCCTACGTTGCGAAACTTTTCCCATCGAGAATTATCTGAGGATATGACATGTGCGATTATATGTAGGACGGTATTTTCTTACCCTGATGATACCCTGTAGAGTCGAATACGTTCGGATTTTTCTTTTTTAAATATGCAAGTGCCGTGTCAGTAGTTCATTCTTTAAAGCTAAGCGGATTTTCCGGACAAAATTACATTCCAGTAATATTTCTGACGTTCACGGTTTTGTGAGTTTTAAAATAAAACCTTGATCCACGCCCAGATTGGTATTGTGCTTCACATTTTATGGTTCATTTCTAATTTTCTGTCGAGCACGGCCCATCTCTACGCTTTCAGCTATTTGAGTCCTTGGGAGGCAAAGGGAAAGTCATTTTGGGGATTTAGAAGCTTTTTGACTTATTGACAGCTTATTCAGCTTCTTAGTAAGCCATATTTTATTACAAAGGTTAATTCCATTCAGCCTCTGTTTACTCTGGCACATCCTTGTGTTTTTATTAGCAGTCCTTTTATAGATATGTCATTTTACTACAAGACCCTCTTTTTTTCTTGCAAATAAAGGGTTATCCTGGGATAACTACATTTTAATTGAGAGGAGGAAAACGCTGAATTCTAGCATTCTAGTAATTCTTGCTGATCTAAGGGATCGAGTAAACTCAGATAGCGCTATCTTGAAAATGGCGGGATTTGCAGAGACAACCACACAGTCACGTAGCCTCTCTTGTTAGTACCTGAATCACTATGACAACAGGGGTTGATCTTTAAGGAAAGACGTCATCTGTTCTGTTGATGGGATTCTGACCATTCATATTGGAGAAACGGTGTGGCGTGATACCTTTTAAGAACAAGGCAACACTGCACTTGTGGAAACATGTTTCACTTTTGCTTTTAGTTTTGCTGGGTCAGCTACGTGAGCTGAACACAGGATCAAGACTGCCAAGGTACATTTGCTTACTCTTAACCAAGGAGAGACTTCTTTTTAGTCAATGGCTTCCTTGTTTAACCCTCTAAACTATTGCTTATTGGGCAGCCATTCACTCAAGAAAGTTCAGGGGAAGAGCAAAAATAATTCACAAATCTGAACTTCTGTGTGGGTACCCACGGACGTGGGTTTCGTCGGGCGTTTTCCATCAAATCGTTGGTTTTTCTGGCGAAATCGTCGCATATCAAGAATTGCATGCTAACGAACTCCATTCAACCATTGCGACGAGGGAAACGAGAAAATAAGCGGAAAAAAAAAAACATCTGAACGTGCAGCGCACTTTTTTTAAGTTTCGTTGCCGTCATTCCATGCACAACAAATGTTGTCAAACTTAATTGAAATGGCAATGCGATCGTCGCTTTAATCTCTACGATGGTCTCTTCATCAATGGTGATCGTCGCGACTTCGATTTCGTCGGAAATACCCATACAGAGGCTCACATCTACAGTTTTCTAGAGATTTTTACTTTCAGTCTGTGCGTGTTACTGCAATGCCAATGCTTGCTATTGTATGTAGCAAAGATTACTTGCATGTGGTAATAACAATCAAAGTAGCCAAATTTAGTAATCAAAGTTTTACGACGAACATTTGCGCATTATTGTTACGACACACCGAGTGACTCCAGATTACGTGCACTGTTTCTGTTCCCTAAAAACTGAAATTTGAATTGCGTGTTTAAATAAGGAGCTAAGTACTTAAGCTGATTTAAAATTCTTTTTAACACTCCCCCGTGCTTCGTATTACGCATGTGCACAGCAATATCCCTCTTGAAGAATTATTCACCAAGGGTTAAAAGTTCATCTTATTATTTCAACTTTGTTTTGTTCAAGTTAAGTAAATATTTTCGGACCACAAAACTGATGGGTGATTTCAATGAACACTAAGCAACAATAACCGATGTTTGTGGAGGTGGGGGGCGTAGTGCCTGAAAGTACCAGGCAAAAGTGTATCATCCTCTTTTCCACAGGCAGCTGAGGAGCTTTTGACAGATCTGGTCACGTGAGCTGGTCGAACTGATCATCATGCTAAGTTTATTAATGTTACTGCTGGCCATGATGACTTCTGTAACGGCAACTAGCGGCAACAAACAGTCCGCACAAACCACGGTACAATTTTTTAAAACAACTTTTGAGCAACTTTCGCTACAAAAAAAAAACTTGTGACTTTCTTTGAGGAGCTTTTGGGCAACTTTTTGAGAAATTAAGGGATTTTTGGGGGGAAATCTCGAGCAACTTGCGGAAAGCTCTCAGGACGCTACGCCACTGACATTTGACAATAAAGACGTGATGATGTAGAGGAGAAGATAACATCTATTTAAAAAGCAGGCAGGAAAAGCGAACACATGAAAATAAAAAAATATTTTTTATAATTTTTACTAGTTTCTTGTTTGAAACTAGCAATCTCCATCGTTTTGTTTTGGTGGTTGTGGCATTCCCGGCATGCCCGGCAAGCATGGTACTCCTGGGGCACCAGGCCGCGACGGTCGTGACGGACGTGATGGCCGTGATAGAGCTAAAGGCGATCAAGGATTGCAGGGAAAGACTGGACCTCAGGGACCTCCTGGTGATAAGGGACCTGCTGGTGTAAAGGGAGAGGAAGGGGCTAAAGGAGAAACTGGAGCCCAAGGTCTTCCCAGTCAAATATGGGAACTTGGCCCGATGCCGTTTAAGAATTGGAAAGAATGTGTCTGGAAAAACTTGAATGATGGAAAGGATAATGGTCTGATCAAGGTGCGATTGATCAGCATACAGTTATCAAATTTACACCCAACGTAGAGCATGCAGCAGCCATTTCCCAAAAGGCCTTTTGCTTGCCCAGTGCAGATACCAACAAACAGCTTTTGGCTTCTGGTATGCTCTGTTATAAAACCACATCCTCTATATAGCGGCCCAGTTACACACGTAGGCTTGTATAAATTTTGTCGGCAGAATTTCGAGTGCATGAGGTACTCTTTCCAGCATTGCCAATGGTTGGTCATATCAAAACTTGAAAAAAACTGTGAAAATGAAAATATTAATCGCAAAATAAGATTAATATAGGAATGAAAGATTCCGTTTGAATTAATCCGAGCAATGTTGAACAAAATCAGGCGATGATTAGCCGGCGTGGCAGATGTTTGAAAGGGAGGGGGAGCGGAATTCCGGGCGCGCGATAAGCGCTAAAGTCAGTTCCTTACGCAGTCTCGCTTCCAAGTTCCCTTCGCCTTCCCTTACGGACGCCTGTCACCCAGGCTGTGCAATAAGATACAATTTCGCTATGCCTCAATGAGAGCTATGTCCTTGTTCCCTGCCATGTGTGCAAAGTTCAAAATGCCCGAAGGCCTGAAATTTTTTTCCCGATATCCAGCACAGGTTAGCTACTTACTTAGGTGGGGCATAAGACTACAAAAATCTAACGCTGTCTGGGCCTAATTCCTCTCCTCCATTAATTCCTTCTTTAAGGTCCTTGTTCAGATCGTATTTCGGTCTGCCCGGTTCTCTTTCTCAAGTATGTGGCGCGTGCCTTCTTTGGGGGTTGGGCGTAGGGTTAACTACTCCGCACCGTAAAATAAGATGCAGTTACAAAAACTACGGCGACAATCAGAATTCAGGTGTCTGAGCAGAATTAGTAAACTGAAGCAATTCTTACGAGCGCTGCCGACAGGTAGAATAATCTATTTAAAGTTCAAGCAGAATTTTTACTTAGCCTACTGTAGCCAAAATTGTCGGTAAATCACTTCGGAAACTTTACTACGTGGTCGCCTGTCCATTGTTCGAAGAGGGCCATTTAGTAGTTCTACCGTGTATAGCTGATCAGCAACTGCTGCGGACCGGCTTTGCAACTAGGTACTTGGGCTTACACGTTAAAAGCCAGTGTCTGGTCAAGGAGCAGTTAGTCTCTTTGTGTGCAGTTAATTGTGCTGTTATTCATACAGCAAATAGCTTGCTCAGTCCAGGCGTTCAGATAGTGGAGTGCGGCGCGAAGTAATAGAGCGGGAAAGATATGCAGGAAGAGAGGGAAAGGGAGTAGTCAAATGCCTCTCCCAAAGAAGAAATATTTCAGATTATATGGTGTGCAAATTAATGTTTAGCAAATGTTTCGGACGCCTAAAAGTAAGTCGGGCTTATATCTTCCAGTGATAATATACTTTATATTAAAAAAGGGAGGGAAATTAGGGTCATGTAACAAAAATGCATACACGTAACTATTGAAGTCCTTGTCGATCGATCCATTTGTTTACAAAAGATGTATCTTAAACAACTTTAAACTTTTTAAGTCTTCCATCTAATTATGAGAAAGATCGTATATATCGAACTACGTTGTCAGACACCGGACCTTAAGAAAAGTTAAACTTGAGGCTTGCAGTTCAAATTCTCCATCCCCTGGCACAAGTGATGGTCAAATACCCGGGGTTTGCAGGGGAATGTTAAGGTTTCGAATTGGTCGGCGCATACGACTTCCAGCAACCAATACGCGTGACATCTGGAATGTCAAAGATCTAGGTGAAAACGGTCTCTAACGCTGGATGAGAGATTGGGGAGGCAGTGGGGAGGGGAGGACAATTAACGGGAGTCACCGTATCTACGGGTTGCGGTGACAGGGGTCCGCACTTTAAAACCTAAATGTGCTTGATGATGGTGGATCTATGCCTAGCCAGCAAAATCTTGTAGAGCAAATTAAGAAATGGACAAAGCAAGGCTGACTACAGCGCTAGTAGATTATATTACTCCCTTTTTCCACAAAAGGATAAATTCAACGTGCCTCTACATTTATCAACTGATTTATTTGTCTATCCACAACGACCGCAGCCAATATTGCGCACTAGGCCATGTAGGCAGTTGCTATTAGATGTAAACTAGATCTAGGTATTAGATGTCATGGAACATCTGTTGCCTGGCCTCTTCATTATCAGATTTTCTGTCAAATTTTTGTATTTTTTGCAGGACTGTGTTTTCACCAAAAACTTTTCTGATACTGCCCTTCATGTTTACTGGACGGGTGCATTAAGAATTCAACACTGCAATAGCTGCTGCAAACGTTGGTACTTCACTTTCAATGGCGCTGAGTGTTCTGCTTCTCTGCCGATTGACGGAATTGTCTTCATGAAGACAGGCGGTAATAAAAATCTCCATCGTGTCCGCCATATTGAGGAGCACTGTAATAACATCCACAAAGGAAAGGTGCGCGTGGGATTCTGGATCGGCAACTGCGCCTCATTTGGAAATGTTGATGGCTACACAGGCTGCAACTCAGTGTCCCGTATGTTTGTTGAAGAGGTTCCTAAAGCTCAAGCTTAAGAGGGACTTTAGATTAAAGTGACTCATGAGATTCATGGGTTATAATAAGTTCTTATACTCCAGAAAGTAAACATAGATAAGGACCTTTAAGCTTAAAAGTAAAAGTCCAAAGTGGGAGGCAACAAAGAAGAAAAATGTTTGAAGGGAGTGAGTGATTTCGACTCCTACGTGGTTGGGTTGTCTGTTGATAATTTTTATAATAGTTTTAGACAGCAGTGATCCAGACTGTTAAAAACTAAAACTCACAAGTCCGGGATTTCAGCACGATCTATTAACGTATGATTGAGGCATTTATTTAAGTGTATAACTAAACAGAAGCGTTTGCTGTTTGAGCTTATTTAATTATTTCTCATTCAAAGTAATTCTTCTTAAGGTTTGATAATATATAGGTTTGTACCTGACCTGAAACTAATCAAACCTCAGTTATTCTCTTCAGGAGACTGAAAACAGCGAATTAACTTAGGTTGCTTTCCAAGTTTGACTGAGGCAATTCTCATACGTTTAGTGAGCGAATATTTTGTTCTTACTCTTGTGATAGCTAACGACAGCTAACTGTATGCGCGGTCGGAGAATTTGAGCCCGACGATTTCCTGGATGAACTCCAATTGATCATCGAAGATATGAACATCTCACTGCAGGGTAAGTTTTGGATCGGAAGTACAACTCATGCAAACATTGTATTTTGCAGTTTGCGATACAAATACTGAACCTGCATCACCTGTGACTAGCCTCAATGTCAAGTAAGTAGTTGACCGGCATTTCGCCCTAGTCCAATGTCCGCCGTTATAAAAGATTTACTTTCCTGCAAGAAAAAAATGCTTCTGTAGCTCGCTATTTGCTTTTTACTCTGATTCCTGTCATGTTATCGGAACTGAGAAGAGTTGAACAAATTAAAATTAATAATAGTGGTAGAGGGATGAACTTAACCGAATTTATGGATTCTCTTTCGATTCCTTCGCAAAAAGTGGATGCCCTTTTATTAAAACGCATAACTGTCTTCCTGCATACTAATTGCCTTCCTGCCTATTAATTATGTGCCTTGTCAGTGTCTAGCTAGCTGGGAAAAAATGCGTTCCTCCATACTAATAAGTGCCTCGCTCCATATGTCACTCTTAAACAATCGGAACAATAGGCTTGCCTAGACTTGCGCGGAAAGTAGCTTTAGTCCAGTTTGCCGGAACGTCTATATACAGCTATTTCGAGAAAGGTTGTCGGAAAAAATGTGCACGCGACAATCCCAAAAGGTAACGTGGGATATGATCAATACACTGTTCCTGACGATTGTGGCTGTCGAATTTATTTGTCAGTGCTTTCCTTTAGCACTCGCAAACATATGTCCATGGCCTCAAGTGCCATTCTTTCAAATTTCTGAGAAGAAAAGTGAACTCAAAACCACCCACAATACCTTTTGGGATTGTCGAGTGCACTTTTCCCTACAACCTTTCTCGAAATAGCTGTATATAAAAAAGGAATAAGAGGAGCGATCTCCTAGCAGAGCGAGAAACGGCTTATAATGTCTTCTATTTAGCGCTGAAAATCGTATATATAAACGAAACGTACACACATACAGAAAGTGGAGCTAAAGACTCTTTATTACAATTTTGACTGACTATTACAAAACTGTTTTCTCCTTTGTATCTCGAGGATGTGAAAAACTATTGAAGTCTTGTTTCACGCACCGTTAGTTAGTTAATTATGCGAGTTAACAAGCCCACATTTGCATACAAATTGGCTCAGCTCCACAATAAAAACCATTATTAATAATTAATTTAACTTTAATTTTAAATTAATAACTTAAGAAGGATTAATTAAAACACGCAACTAATTAATAAACACTCGTAATAAAAGCAGACTCGTTTCTTAAGACACAAGAAATCAACTCTATGACCCTTTATTAAAATAATTGCAAAACGCTGAAAAGATGAAATACTCAGTGATTTAAAAGAAATCTATTAGAATAGTCAAAGTTAAGGCAAGCTATCTTTTTTTACACTATGCATAATTTTTTCTTACCCCTCTCCCTTTTCATTTCTATTTTCTCCCTCCTCCAGAATTTTATTATTTTCCCTACTCAATTTTTATATTGCCTCTTCCACAACTTTAATATTTTCCCTCCTCCCCCACAATTTTATTATTTTCCCTCAATCTTGATTTCCCTCCGTCTCCTCCACCTCCTCAATTATTCTATATATTTTTCCATCCACAAATAGATCGACCCCATATCGACCCCACATCGACCCTAGACTCAACCTTTTTTCAACACAGCTTTGTGAATAGTTAAACTATATAAAACCACCACCACCACCACCACATTTCTATTGTTTTCCCTCCACCACAACCACAATTCTATTGTTTTCCCTCCACCCTCACCGCCACCACCACCAACACATTTCTATTGTTTTCACTCCTTTTATTTTTACAGCAGACAGGTTTATATAGAAGGTCAGCCAGGCCAGACCCAGGCCAAAAAGGTCTAACTCAAGGTTAAAAAAGCCAGAACCAAATAACCTGCTTACCAGAATAAAAGGAGGAGTGAAAACAATAGAAATGATGTGGTGGTGGAGAGAAAACGATAGAAATGTGAGAGGGGTAAGTTAAAAATTATGAAAAATTGTTTGAATGCAGAGGTCCACGCAACGCGTAAATATAACTGACTAGTTCCTCTTGCCGGATCCCTAAGCAAACAGATGCTGTAGCCGGAGGTCGCTTAAAGTGTGAAATAAAACAAAACTGAATGCAGGGCTGGCACTGCGGCAAACAGCTGATTTATTATAGGCTAATTTTTCGGCTAACAAAATTAGCCTTCCTCAAGGCCAGAACCATAACGAGAGAAAATATATTTTACTGGCTCCTAAAATTTGAATTTAAAATTCACATAAGTGGTTAATAATTAACTAGAATTATTAATACTAGATAGAATAATATACTGGTAAATGATTATACAATAAAAAATAAAAATAGAAACAGTCAAGCAATGTTCGTTCCTTCGGTTGAGACCGTCTGGTGACAGGGTTTTGCCTCTACCTATGAGGTACGCTTCTCTTGACTTACTGCGTGACATGCTGAGGGTGGGTAATTCCAGTGGAATAAGTTCCATGTCTGCGATCAAGTGGCCAGGTTGATTAAAGTGGGAAGGGACTGCTGTTGTGGCGTTTGCGTGGAGTGAATTGCTTGTTACCCGTCTATGTTCTTTAAAGTGTTCACGAAGTGTGCGTTTAGTTTCCTATACATTTTTTTTTACATCTTTTACAGTGGATCACACTCTGGTTTCAAGTTTGATGATCTTCAGAATGAATCAGATAAAAAAGGGTGAAGGAAAAATAACTTACCAAAAATAGATTTCCACTACAAAATTCTTTACTTGACTGGACGCCAGTTGACCACGCGTAGCGCAGCTCCTTGGCTAGTGTCTATATTAATAAGTACTTCGTCTCGAGGCGATAGTTTTCCAGAGCAAACTGTTTCCCATATGTCATAACCGTCAATTGGCTTTGGATCTTCTTGGTCGAAACTGCCTCCTAACAGCAAAAAAGTTTTTAACTAATAGATGCTTGCTTACAATAAATTAACACGAAAATGGGAAAACGATTACCTTTACCTTAACTCTATAATGCACCAAACCTCTGTAAACCCAATGAGATTAGGCATTTAACTTTAAAGTAAATGTCTGGGGGAAATCGTGATCATTTGATTACCCTTTAACGGCCGGGTTGTTGGCCACTATTTTCTCCGGAATCGTTTGCTCCCATACATGTAGGAACGTGGTAAGAGATGGCCCACACCGGGATGAAATTGTAAAGATTTGTGTGGAAGAAGAAACGATCAGACGGCGAGAAGCTTCTCTTTAATTTTCCTTCAGATTTAGTGAGAGGAGTGCCCGCGGGCGAGCGTCGAGCGGTGAAGCTGCGAGACGCGAAAAACGAGGGCGGCAGCCCGAGAAGAGAAAAGAGCCTCTCCCGTCTAGCGCCTTCAGGCATTCGCGTGGTGTCACTTTTGTGTCTCGAGCGTTTCGCTCGACGGACTTAGTGTAAGGTGCAAATCCACTTGTAACCTGGCATTTATTTGGACGAAACAAACCAATCCCTACAACCAAGGATATATATACGTCGGAAAAGACCAAGCAATCCGTACAAACAAGGATATATACGTTGTCAAGCGTTAAAAACGTCGTTACTTCGTGTGAATAGCTCCAACTGGTATATCGAGTAACTCCGTACAACAACAAAAACTCATCACGTAATCTAAAACGGCGGGAAACAAAAAAAACAGGGAACTCAGCCGAACCACTCAGAGAAAAAGAGAGACTGCTCGTAGTCTAAGAAACGTTGAATTCGCTGCATTGCTTTTCTCTGGTGTGAACAAAATAAAATGAGCCTACTCCTATATTAACTACTAGAGAGGTCATTATGGATTTAATCCTCACCTGCTAGACTGATTATCATTGAATACCAGTCTGTCACGTGCAACAATTCTCTTTTTTTCACGCCTTTTTGTTGCAGTAATTTTCCATGGACAAATGCAGCCCCTAGGGTCCCTCTCTCCCACACGGTATGTTTTGTACCACGGAAGGGCCACTTGAAATTTCCTGACCTTCGTAACCCGCCATTATCATTACTGAGTATAACAAGTGTGTCATCCCATAACCTATGAAACGTAACATTCCCTTTGGTTGAAAAAATATGGCAAAGTTATTCTGCTGTTTGAACCTGCTTTTCGACACAAAGCCTTTGGAAAATATGTAATGCACTCAAGGTCTTAAGTGCTTCAAAGCAATAATTTTGCATAATTTTGCTTTTGACTGCAAGTATTTTAACAAATTATTTAAGACCATCAAGGCCCGTGAGAATGGGGTAGGGCCTCGGCTCCTATACCTTCCGTTCCTCCCCTGCACCCCCAGCTCCGGCTCCCTTACCTCCCGTTTCTCCCGTACCTTCCAGCTCCGGCTCCCATACCTCCTGGCTCCCTTACCTTGCACCGGGCCATGCATCTCGAGTTCTCGG